CGCGCGCGCGCGTGCGGGCGGGCGGGCGTGCGCGCGTGCGTGCGTACGTGCGTGCGTGCGTGCGTGCGTGCGTGGGTGGGTGGGTGTGTGTGTGTGTGTGTGTGGGTGCGTGTGTGTGTGTGTGTGTGTGTGTGTGTGTGTGTGTGTGTGTGTGTGTGTGTGTGTGTGTGTGTGTGTGTGTGTGTGTGTGTGTGTGTGTGTGTGTGTGTGTGTGTGTGTGTGTGTGTGTGTGTGTGTGTGTGTGTGTGTGTGTGTGTGTGTGTGTGTGTGTGTGTGTGTGTGTGTGTGTGTGTGTGTGTGTGTGTGTGTGTGTGTGTGTGTATGTGTGTGTGTGTGTGTTTTTGGAAGCCCCTTTGATATAAGGCTGTTTTTTGTTGACATACCGTGTGACGTGTTTTGCCCCAAAAATGGAAGTCCCAACGAAAACAACCCCCCCCCAAAATCAAGAACAAGAAGGCATGGTGCCAGTCTGTGGGAACTTTATGCCTGGGTGTGGAACAGACTGTCTGGGAAAAGTATGCAATGACCCACTCTTGTGGTATGTTTTAGGACGTTCAACATTGGTAGTCAGGCAAGTACAGCTAAGCCAAAGGGCGGGGGAAGGATCAAGCTTTTCAAAAGCATTCTCATTGTGAGCTGAATCATCGGGGATCAGTGCCGCAGTGAGTAAAACACCTTTCTGTGATTCCTCTGTCACTTTAAAGCCGGGCCTACCTGTTTGTGCAGATGTTGGGTTTTGGCTGCTGATTGACCGCCTTCGGAAAGTTACGCATTTCCAACCATGGGACGATGGACAAGGCTTTCCTGTGCGAGGATGCGTAGCAGTCCTCGCTCTGGAATGTTAGGATAAACTGATCAAAAAGCTACTCCTGATTTGCTTCTTTAACATGGTGTTTCTCAAGATGATGGATCCCCTATTGGTATGTATTTAAAGGGAAGCCAAACGGAAACCATGCATTTAAGGGTAATCACTATGTTGAGAGACCTCCCCACATGTGTGTGTGTGTGCGCGCTTTGGGACAAGCCAAGGGGGGGAACCACACTCCAAGAGTCCCCCCTATTCTGAGACAGACCCATCGCCCGCATGAACTGCAAGTAGCTGGGTCAGGTTCCATGCGATGGTGAGTGAAAGCATGAGTGCCATGGAAAAACTCCTCATGTGGGCAATGAGTTTCTCACGTGGGCATGTATAAAAACCCCCCATCCTTTCCCTACTACTTTTTGACGTTATCGTTTTTTTTCCTCCTTATCGTTTTACAATGTTTTCTTCAACTTGGCAAGTCAAACTCGAGAATCCAAACTTTTGAGTACAAGTGCAGTACGTGAAGTACACTTCCGCAGCTCCAGCTGGAAAATCGCAACTTTGTAGTACACGTGTAGTACGCGAAGTACACTTCCGCAGCAACAGCTGGAAAATCGCAACTTTGTAGCACAAGCGTAGTAAGCGAAATACACTTCCGCAGCTCCAGCTCGAAATCGCAACTTTTCAGTACAAGCGTAGTACGTGAAGTACATTTCGGCAGTTCCAGCTGGAAAATCGCAACTTTGTAGTACAAGTGTAGCACGCGAAGTACACTTCCGCAGCTCCAGCTGGAAAATCGCAACTTTGTAGTACAAGTGTAGTACGCGAAGTACACTTCCGCAGCTCCAGCTGGAAAATCGCAACTTTGTTGTACAAGTGTAGCACGTCAAGTACACTTCCGCAGCTCCAGCTCGAAATCGCAGTTTTTCAGTACCAGCTCCAGCTCGAAATCGCAGCTTTTCAGTACAAACGTAGTAAGCGAAATACACATCCGCAGCTCCAGCTCGAAATCGCAACTTTTCAGTACAAGCGTAGTACGTGCAGTACATTTCTGCAGCTCCAGCTGGAAAATCGCAACTTTGTAGTACAAGTGTATTTCGCGAAGTACACGTCCGCAGCTCCAGCTGGAAAATCGCAACTTTGTAGTACAAGTGTAGTACGCGAAGTACACTTCCGCAGCTCCAGCTGGAAAATCGCAACTTTGTTGTACAAGTGTAGCACGTCAAGTACACTTCCGCAGCTCCAGCTCGAAATCGCAGCTTTTCAGTACAAGCGTAGTAAGCGAAATACACATCCGCAGCTCCAGCTCGAAATCGCAACTTTTCAGTACAAGCGTAGTACGCGAAGTACACTTCCGCAGCTCCAGCTGGAAAATCGCAACTTTGTAGTACAAGTGCAGTACACGAAGCTCTTCCGCAGCTCCCGCTGGAAAATCGTAACTTTGTAGCACACGTGCAGTACGCGAAGTACACTTCCGCAGCTCCAGCTGGAAAATCGCAACTTTGTAGTACAAGGTAGCACGTCAAGTACACTTCCGCAGCTCCAGCTGGAAAATCGCAACTTTGTAGTACAAGTGTAGTACGCGAAGTACACTTCCGCAGCTCCAGCTCGAAAAGCGCAACTTTTCAGTACAAGCGTAGTAAGCGAAATACACATCCGCAGCTCCAGCTCGAAATCGCAACTTTTCAGTACAAGCGTAGTACGTGAAGTACATTTCTGCAGCTCCAGCTGGAAAATCGCAACTTTGTAGTACAAGTGTAGTACGCGAAGTACACGTCCGCAGCTCCAGCTGCAGATTGTCAAGTCTAGTTCTACACAACGTTATCGTTTTGTTTTCCTCCTTATCGTTTTACAGGGTTTTGGGAGACCTCACCACAAAAAGTCCCACCCTGACTAAACTGCAATCGGGGGGGTTATTATACAAGCCCACGTGGGAATCCTTAAAATGGTTGTCAAGCAACCTGCTCAAGGATCCATGATCAACCCACCAACCCCAAGCAAAGTGGCGCAAAGCCGTTGGATGATTTTCAAAGAACACCAAAAGGACCCCAACCACCTAGATCATGAGTGTTTTCATTCGATTTCCCATTGGTGTCCCTGAAACCGAAAGGTGGGCCTTTGCAAAGCAAACACACATTGCCTGACCCAACGCTGGGGTACACCAAAAATCATACTTCGCGATTCATACTTCGGCCTTAAACACACAAAATAGCTGTGGGTCAAAAATACGCAAAATAGCAAATGTATTCCTGGTAAATGACAACATGGACTACAATCGGCGGTCGGGTGTTCTAACTCCAATGATCCATCTGGGTGAATCTTATTTTACCAATCTCAAATAATGTGGTTGGGACATAAACCCTATTTGGGGTGAATTCGGCGCACTGTGGTCGTTATAATTCACCCAGATCCATAAGCAAATTGACAATGGAACCCTAAATGGAAACATTGACTAAGATCTGCGATCGGGTGTTCCAATTTCAATGATTCACACACAAATATTCGAGACCCAATCTGAACCCTTGCGGCCTCACCAGTTTGCACTCCGAGGCGAAGGCCGCGACACCATCAGCCTCCACAGCTTCATGTGCGACGCGGCTCTCCTTGGGAAAAGCGCGGCATGCGCGTGGCCACGGCTTCGGCGTCCGAAACGGGGTTTTGGGCATTTGAGGCTAAGGAAATCAATGGAAAAGTGGCGTAGTGGTGTTGTTCAATCGGTGGCTGTTTGAGGCTTGCTGAAAGGGAAATCAACAACCGAAATCCCTTTGCCGTCCGCCCTAACGAGCCATACCAGAGTAAAATTAGCACAGTGAAATATGTACTAACTCCCGCCGCTAGAGTCTGGGTGATCTTTTCTTTTGGACACTCCGTTGACAAGAACATGGTTGAGTTGCAGTGGGGTGAAAGTAGATGGCAATTCCTTCCCACTTTGGTGTCAATGGGACATTCTTTGTCCCACTGACAGTCACAACCGACTTACCTGGCTACTGAAATCGTAGTTCGGAAAGCTCGTCTCGTAGGGGGGGAGGGGGAGGGAGGGGGCTAACCTTCCATGTGGGCCACCATTGTCGGACTGGCTGGGGTTTGGGCCTTTCCGTGGTCTCCTCCCCCAAACCGCAGGGGACGTCAAGGTACAACACCCCTAGTAGCTCTATAGCGACTATATACCCCATTCAAGCCCTGGGGGGCAGTAATTTGGTGGTACTCTATCAGGGTGACAGCTGGCGCAGTTCCTTTGGCGAAGTAAGGGACTTCCCGCCCAAAAGCGGTTCAGACGCGCTGAGGTTTAGCTTTGGGTAGGCACGAAGAATGAATAGACGCCAAAAACAGGGTTCAACCCCCATCAAAAAGATGGCTGACCCAATTTGGATGATGAACAAATAAATATAAGGAATAGGTAAATAATGGTGGTTGTATAAACCCCTTTGATTAAATTGTGGTTTGAACCCCAGGGCAAAGGAAACATGTATATGACAAACCACACAACATATAGTGATGTTGCGCGTTGAACTGAATGGCATCAATGACACAGAGTGTTGCTTAAACAAATATGCCACCCTCTCTGGGTGTTAGGATGCGGAGACAAACCCATTCTACTTAATTCAGGCCCTTGTCGTACGAGCTTGCTGAGGTGTCTGAATTTATGTTTGTTGCTTTTTAAAAGCCATCTCCTTTTGTTTTCCTTTTGGGGAATCGCAAATTATGGGCTAAACGGCCATCTTCTTGAAGGACAAGCGCTCCTTGTGGAAAAATAATAATTTCAAGCAGTCAACGCTTCCACGCTCACCTTCTCGCAAAGTCTCAGATTGATGGACGTTTTGTCTCCGCAAGCCTGAGCCACCTCAAAGCCATTTAAGCGAAGCTTTCGCACTCGCCGACTGCGATGCTGGAGAACTCCTTTGGCTTGTGCACCACGAGAAGCTCGAACAGCCGCTTGGAGCCTTTTCATTTGCGCAGCGGCTTCATGCTGGATCGACATGGAGCCAGTTTTGCTCCAGGCAAGTCACATTGGGTATGTGCAAAAAAAGGGGACCCAACAGTAGCATGGTGGGTTCCTTTCGGTTTCCCACTAAACCAAGCTGAAAAGAGCACCAACTCAAAAACGCCCACACGGGTGTCTCTACCCCCCACATGTTTGGTTCCCTGGTGGTTTACCTAAGCCAGCCAAAAGTCGGCTCCCATGGAAAAACACGACTTTTGGGTTCCTGGAAACCAACCGTTTCAAATACTAACTGCAAGGTGGTCAGCTTCCCTCTCACAGGTTTGGATTGGCGTTATGGAGGTTAGGGGGTCTCTCATTTTACAAAAAAAACTCGAAGTTCAACTCCAAACACATCCAAACCACCATTTTCAGGGTTCCCTGAGGTACGTGCCCTGCAACCTCCCCCAATAAAAACGGCGGCCGCGGCTCGCCAGCTCGGGTCTGGCCGCGGCTGAGCCTCAAACTCGCCAGCGAAGTCGGATGGCTGGAACCAAGGGAGGGAGAACATGGACCGGAGAACCCCACTCGACATGATATGGCTGTTGGGGACTATTTCTCAATCAAAGGTATCCCCAAAATGGCTTGCCCTGGCAAGTGGAACCAAGAAGGATTTCACCTGCGGTCCCTTGCCGGTGTAATTTTCGCCCATACCCATATAACTACTATCAAAAGGGTAGACACCCCGACGTTTTTGGGTGGCGGTGAGGAGGAGACCATCTTAGAACCAAGGCAACTGAGGTTAAGAAGTCGTTGATCGCGCGCTTGTGCAGGCACTCGTGCGCTGGCACGTCCACTCGTGCGGTGTGCGTTCAACAACGCCCATAAACAACCCTTCAAATATGCCTAAGGCATGTGACTTTAGAGGGAAACACATCGGCCATTGGGCGTCCGCGATGCCGGGAAGGCAATTAGATCCACCTCCCCACCTTGTAAGCGAAACGATTCAATCTTACAAGGGGGCTGGGGGGGAGGGGGGGGGGCCCAAAGCTCCCTCCCCCCCCCCCCCTCCCTCCCCCCCAGCCCCCCATGATACAAATTAGTTAACGATGCAAATGGATTATGCGTTTTAGATCAACAATACTGGAAACATATTCTAAATGGAAACATATTCTAACATGTTTAAGGTAGATCCTGGCAGTCATAGCGTTGGTAAAGCTGCTCGAAATTTAGGTTTAAAAGTTTTAACGTTATTATATCATTGGAGTTGACACATGCTGATACTAATTGCAATCTAGGCCAAAACATACCCATGTCCCTTTTGGGGACCTGCTGTTTCACCCACGAAGCCCTTTTTTGGGCCAATAAACCAAAAGAGGAACAGGGGTTCAGCAGGGTTGCAAAACAAGTTGGGTCCTAAAAATGAAAAGCGAGTTGGAGACGGATCCAACCCCTGCAAAAAAATGACAACAGTTTGCTGGTTCAAAGGTCAAATGAGGGACACCCAAAAGGGAAAAATGGCATCAGGATAGTAAGACCGGCAATGTTCCTTCGAGGGCACCCTTTTAGCATCATGAAATCACTGGCACGAGAATAAACAATCGCGTGGTGAAGAAACCACCAAAGGAAACCCCGCACATGTCCACCATTGAGCTTTCCATGGTGCCTTGATAAAACTTGGGAAGTTCTCCAACTTAGGCCCCGCTGTTGAACGGTCCTTTGAGAATGCACAACAAATCATCAACTTGTGGGCCTAATTCTGGGCCTAATTCTGGGCCAGGTTTTGCTTTTTACACCATTTTGATAAAATAAAACGCCCGCCCACGCCCACCCACGCCCGCCCACGCCCGCCCGCCCCTCGCTTTAGAAGGAGAAGGCTGTATTTACCCACATCCGAGAAGGGAGTCAAAAGGCTAAACCCGTTTCGGGCATCAGCCCCAAAAGTCCCTTCGGGGCTCTCGGAATATGAAATGGGTGTGCCTGTTTGTAGGGGGCCCCCAAAAATGGCCAAAAGAACACCAGCCCAAAAGGGCTACCCTCAAAAACATCGAAAAACAGCCACACCCAAATGCAGTCAGTACATTCTGCGCCGCCCCAGATTTTCATGGCTTAGTAAAACGATACGGGCATGAGTGTTCATCCGCGAAAAACTAAGGCGCAGAAGATGCATCTCCCCCAACCATTTAAAGGGCGTTTCTCGGAATGTTTGAGCCCGCATTCATAATGGGCGGTCCCAGGTAATCGCATGTGGTTCACTCTCTAAATAGGACAACACCCAAACTGGAAAAATGGGTCTTGTTACATTTAGCTTTAACCTCAGATCTCTACTTCTACTACTAATGTTTTCCCACAGCTCCTCCCCCCCTCCGGTTTTCTGTCTGCAGCGGAGTGGCGCGCGTAGACGTCCTGCGCAGACTTTGGCAGCAGTCCGTTCATCGCCGCGAGCAGATCTGACGCCCGCGCGGCGGCCGGCGGCCCGACCGGGGGCCCCGGGTTTTTTGGTTGGGGGGGGAAGGAGTGAACGACGGGAAGGAGTGGACAAATCCAACACGCAAAAGGGAACATAGAGCAACGTTTAAGCTAAGGAAATCTACGGACAGGAGTGTTGTTTGACACAAAAAAGGCTTGAGGAGGCTGGCTTCCTTGCGTGAGGGAATGCCACGAAGAAAATTCAGGCGTTGCTGGAATGCATTCACTGACACATGCGAAGCCTAGAGTCCATAATTTGTTGGGCTCAGAAATTGACGACAGCCTGGGTCTGGGGAACATCCTACCCCCAAAGTCTCGCAATGCCAACAGTGAATAAGACTGAGAAGCCCAGTGTGTGTTTCTCGTGAAAGGCTTACCCTATCTTGGTCACTGCTTGCGGTTGGAACCAACCAAAAGCGAGCCCGCTATTCGAAGCCACACCACTCTTTTCACCCCAAACAGTTGTCTAGTCTATTGGCCCTACCCCTAGCCCGCGGGACAACTTTCTGCATGCGTCAGTGCTCGCTGCAGAACAAATCAAAAACTGAGCCGAAACCGGCTGGAAAGACCGATCGTTGCACTGAGTGCGCGTGTGACGAAAAAAAATGGGAATCAACCCTTAGAGCTATCGCAAGTTTCCCTAAACGTGTTGGCACCAATCGGAACTCGCTCTTTCCGGCCCGTTGCTTTCCCCAAATCTTCAAGCCAGGCCAAACCTCGATGAGTTCAGTTTGGCTCATATCCAAGAGTGAAACATCGCTCCCAAACTTTTGAGGAATGCAATTGCTGGGAAAGAAAATTAACGCTGCACCTTGCATCACCTGGACCTAACTCCACAGGAAGCTTGACACAGCGAGATCGGCACGAAAGGGCTAAGGCTAAGCTGAACGCTGATCCCAGCCATGGGCAAAACAAGTTCATTGTATCGGGGAACCCCTCCAGACCAAAAGAAAAATGGGGCGCCACTGGGCGTCTGGGCTCAGACCGAGGAAAGCAACTGCCAGGGATGAATATCTTGGACCGCCATCCGCCAAGCCAGGTGGTTTACTGTTTTTGAGGGTACCGTTTTTTGGGAGTTATTGTACAGCGTAGAGGGAAACCAAAGGACACCGACCCACTCTGCGGGTAATTACCCCAATTGTGAGACAGACACACCAAATTCTGAGCCTCAGCCAAAACTTTTCAGCTGCGCTGACAAGGAGGTCTAGCACGCATGCGGGCGCGCTGGCCTGGTTTGTCCCTGAGGCACGGGAAGATGGCGAAGCTGGTATTTGCGAAAGTGCCTGCGAGCGGATGAAGAGAACCAGGGGAGCGCCGGCAGGGCGATGAGTGAGTGCCCGTCCTGTGTGTGAACTAGGAAACAACGTTTACTTAAACGGCGGGCAAACATGAAATCTACCGATTCAACCTCGGATGAAAGAAACACTTCGCCAAAAGCTAACTGAACCGGAGTCAACGGTGCATTGGCAACCTGGCTCGCATAGCTCCTCGGAGACCAGCCAGCTAAGAAGCAAACAAGCTCATGCACATGTTGCCATAATGCTGGGCACGTCTGCACAGAGCTATAGAAGCAGCGAAACTAGCCAACCAGTCAACACCGGCAAACACACAAGCAAAATCAAACAAACAAAGAAAGAAGCAACCAACCAACCAACCGACCGACCGACCGACCAACCAACCAACCGACCGACCCGCCCGCCCGCCCGCCATCCCTTCCATCCACCCGCCCAACCAGCAAGCCAGCCAGCCAGCCAGCCAAGCAAGCACTAAGCAAGCGGGAATTCAACCAACCAGCCAGCCAGCCAAGCAAGCAAGCAGCCAGCCAAGCAAGCAAGCATGCAACCAACCAGTCGAGCAAGCAACCAGCCAAGCATGCAAGCAAGCAAGCAAGCAAGCACGCAAGCAACCAACCAGTCAAGCAAGCAACCAGCCAAGCAAGCAAGCAAGCAAGCAAGCAACCAGCCAAGCAAGCAAGCAAGCAAGCAACCAGCCAAGCCAAGCCAAGCCAAGCCAAGCCAAGCCAAGCCAAGCCAAGCCAAGCCCAGCCAAGCAAGCAAGCAAGTGCTTGCAATCAAGCAAGCAAGCAAGCAAGCAAGCAAGCAAGTGCTTGCAAGCAAGCATGCAAGCAAGCAAGCAAGCAAGTGCTTGCAAGCAAGCACGCAAGCAAGCAAGCACGCAAGAACGCAAGCACGCAAGCACGCAAGCACGCAAGCACGCAAGCACGCAAGCACGCAAGCACGCAAGCAAGCAAGCAAGCAAGCAAGCAAGCAAGCAAGCAAGCAAGCAAGCAAGCAAGCACGCAAGCAACAAAGCACGCAAGCACGCAACAAAGTGCTTGCAAGCAAGCCCGCAAGCAAGCAAGCAAGCAAGCACGCAAGCAAGCAAGCACGCGAGCACGCAAGCACGCAAGCAAGCAAGCACGCAAGCACGCAAGCAGGCAAGCAAGAAAGCAAGAAAGCAAGCACGCAAGCAAGCAAGCAAGCACGCAATCACGCAAGCACGCAAGCAAGCAAGCATGCAAGCAAGCAAGCACGCGAGCACGTAAGCAAGCAAGCAAGCACGCAAGCAAGCAAGCACGCACGCAAGCAAGCAAGCACGCAAGCAAGCAAGCACGCAAGCAAGCACGCAAGCACGCAAGCAAGCAAGCACGCAAGCACGCAAGCAAGCAACTGCTTGCAAGCAAGCAAGCAGGCAACTGCTTGCAAGCAAGCAAGCAAGCAAGCACGCAAGGACGCAAGCACGCAAGCAAGCAACTGCTTGCAAGCAAGCAAGCAGGCAACTGCTTGCAAGCAAGCAAGCAAGCAAGCAGCACTCCGGGCATCCGCGCTGATGACCTGCTTGGCGTTGAGGCTCGTCCGCTTCTCGCAAATCAACGCCCACGTCCTCCGACTTTGGCTCAGATCATAGGGTTCCTTGCTCTGGTGGTTTCCATTTGAACGATCGCCACGTTTGGAGATTCCAAAAAATGGAAGAAACCCGGGCCAAAGCAAAAAACATAGACGGAGAACACCTTTTGGGGCCACGGCAGAATCAGTTTTGGACTTGTAAGTGTTGAAAATAGCTGAGAATCTCTCTCAACCGGTTCCGGAAAAGAGCCCTGTGTTTCAACTAAAGCTTGTTTCCGGAAAAAGTCCCTTTGCAGAGGGGGGCAGGAAACCCAGCGGGAAGAACTAGGAAAATGGAATTATAGCATTAACCCCCCGTCCCCATACTCCATGTATGAAAATAGTTTTCAGATGTGCATGATGCATGAACCCTCAAAGAAATTATGAAAACAAACGGAACAAAAGCCCGAGTGATCACACGTCTCTTTGTTTGGCTTGCAAATCGGTATGCCTTTACAAGATTGTGACACATCACCTCGCAAGGGGAAACCAAAAGGACAACAAGATACAACAAGAGCGTCAACAACCACTTGGATCCGTCCTTTTGGCTTCGAAGCGTTCCCAAACTTTCAGCCAGCACCCCCCGAAACTCGAATCGTCGAGCCGAGTTTTTTTTCCCGCGCCTGGGCTCCTTAAGTCCATTCTTCAGCTTCGCTCGGCCCTTGGCGTCCTCAGAAGAGCCACAGCGAAAGACGGGAGGGAGTTGCCCTTTGAGGATACACCATTGCTTGCGTTGTTTTTGAGGAAACTAGAAAGAAAACCTCTTAGACTATTTGGCCATCGATTCCATGTCTAATGGTTTCGACCCACCAAACAAAGTGGGAAATAGGTAACAACTGATGGTGCCTGGAAGAGATCGATCAGTGGGCCAGGCGTTTGGAATGCTTCAAAGCAAGGCTTGTCAAAGGTTTTCAGTGGAAGGATGTGTGCGAGCACAAAGCCTATAAGCAAAAGCCGGGTGGAGCATTTGCCCGAAGCCACAAAAAACAAAATAGCAACCAACGTCTGATGTTGGGTTCCAAACTTCCGCATGCCTTCATCATTCTACAGTTGGTTCGATGGCAAGTCTAGCTCAAGCATCCAAGGGCGTTTGCTGAAAAAGAAGCGTCGGCTGGAACGCGCCCCACTCAGAAGTTGTCCAATTTGCCTTCCCAATTAAAAGCTATCTTCAGGCAAGGGACTTCTATGCGTGTGCCATGTGCCACATGTGTCATACTGTATGGACGAAATCCGTTCGCACCACTTTGAAACCATGGGAAACCCTTGTTTGTTGGTGTTTACAGGGGACTCATCCTTCCAGGGTTCTTAGGTGATCCATCCACAGTAGGGAGTAGGGTCAGAAAATAGAAAGCACCAAAGACTGTGCAAAAACATGGAACCCTGGCAAATGGGACACATCTGGGCAATTCATCTTCATTCGCAACCACATCTGGGTAGTTTACTTTGCCTGAGTTGGCCAACTTATTCTTCCGCCTTATCCGTCAGTGCCCGCCAGCCACGCTAGGTTTTCAGGTAAGAAGCCTTCGTCATGAAATATCCTATGACACGTGACTCGCCATATTGGGGCCTTCCCAGAGAAAAACCAACCTCAAACCAACCATTTTAGGGGTTCCCCCATTAGACAAACCCTCTTGAAAACACGTCCGACCCGTGCGTCACGAGCATCCTTCTCCTTCTTCGGCGCTGGCATCCTCAGACCGCTGAAGCTCATCGCTTGGTGGGATTTATCTTTTGCGCCAGGGATGCGGATCCTGCTGACCATTTTTAAATATATATATATATATATTGATTTGGATCAAACCACACGTGAAAGATCCCAGAACTACGGGCGGCTTCATGGAATATTGCTAGACGTACCCGTCCCAATATGTTGAAGGATCCTATTTCACAAAACGGGCGGCACAAGGGTCTGGGAAGCTGGTGGCTTCTGAAGACGTGCTAAACAGGGCGTCTGAAAGAATAAAACATCACCAGAGTGGGCTCCCATCGATTGGCAGAAGTAGTAGGTCTATTTTGTTACTAGGGGGTCTAACATTACCAAGCCCCTTTTGGCTTCCCCAGATTGAGTTTACAAGCGGGTTATTCAGCACCAAGACGAGAATGGGTGAAGACTTCATCGTGGCATCACCCCGTAGAATGCTGGCGGAATTCGGATTCGGATTCTCGTGCCCAGAGGCTCTCCAAGACTGCTGGCTGTATACCAAGGTCCTAAACAACTTGAATGGGGTGCGGTACTTTAAGACCATATTTCGTCATGACTCTATACAGTACACCGGGGTTGCCCAAAAAAGGAGACTTGGGCCTCAACAAAACATATACTTTGAAATCAATATGTAGTCATGAATTCTGGTGGCAAACTATCAGCAAACCGTTTAGCCCCAGGTTTCACTCACTCTGGACCTACAAAATCAAGAGAAACTCAGCGCAATCAAGGCCTGGAGGCTTTCCCAGTGGAAACATGTCCAGTTTGAGTTGGGACTTGGTCGATGACTTTCCCAAGCCATAAGTGGACTATCGATCATAAGCTGAGGAAGGAGTTCAAACATACATATAGATATGTATAATACGTGTGGGGATATTCACTGGATTGAACACGTTGGATTCATGTATGAGGGTACAACGCTGAGGAAACCTCTGGTTCAGGGTGTGCCTAAACTTCGTTTTGCCAATGGTCCTGACGTTGACCCGCAGGCCATGCCACACACCCAATCCACACCCCACCCCGCCCCCCACACCACAGTCTTCCAGCCAAGCGGCGGCAGAGGCTCGGTAAGGAGAGCCGGCAGGATGAACTGCGCGGTCCTCAAGCACACCATGATTCCATTTGTACCCCTGCTACAAGGTCTAAGCAATTAGAACGCGGTTGTGGGGTACTCTGAAACCAAATTAAGTTATGATCAAAGGATGGGAATGTGTGTGTGTGAGCATTTAGCTCCTCCAAATAGGTAGACATAAACTCATGGGGGTCACGTTTGGGAGATTCACAATGTGCTCTTCGCACTATACCCGCAACCATGCCAGAATTGACACCTCCTCCACAAGGTGGACTTCTCTTTGACAACCCTTCTATCATGCAAAAGTGAGGACCCCATTTTCTGAACCTAAATACGATTTTTTTCGCCTGGGTGAGACAGGTTCTTGCCGTGGATCCCTTTGCTGAAGGCACGGAATCGCGATTTCTAAGCCATCACAGCTTGCAGTTGTCGTTTTCTCACCAGCGATACGCAAGAAACCCACAGACTCGTTCAAATCAGGGGGTAGTCACTCTTACTCTCCCCCAATTCCCAAAGCTACCATGCTTGAGGATGCTAAGATTTCCCGTCCAACTTGAACGAAGCGCTTGCACGTATCCTTATTTTCCAGCTACGTGGAAGGTTTGAAAACAAGAAAACAAATTCTAGCAGATTCTAGCGACGCAAACATGTGTGTGTGTGTCCATATTGAACAATTTACCCTCTCTCCCACCAGACTGGTTTCCCTGGGAACTTCTGCCAGTTTCCATGTTAGGAGGTAGGTTACACATACTCACACACACATGGACGTTGCTCAATATTCCTGACCCCAAAATGACCACGAGTAGCTTTTCCCATTCAAGTGGTGAAAGTCATCGTTTGGGTGGTTTCCCTGATGGTCATCCCATGTTTACCGGACCTTTTGATCAACCCCCACATCCGCATTGTGACTTGTCCCTTGAGATCCACCTTGCGCGAGTCAAAGGCTGTCCAATGGCGAGAAAATGCACGCATGGCCAGTCAAGCGTCGTGGCAGTGAGCAGCACGCTCACCTCGGCCGGGGTGAGAAGGGACAGAGACACGACACAATGAGCTGGGTAAGCTCCGCTGACATGAGAGACCCACAAGAAAATAATTTTGCTCACGGTACCGAAACCATCATGACTTCGTTGCAGCTTGATCACTTGGCATGGCGACGCAATGCCATCGACAAGATCTGGGCGGGCTAAGAGCGAAGGAGGAACACCCCCTTCATTGGAACCCAACATGGGAGTTGAATCGGACCCCTCCCCCCAGTTTGCAATTTTAAAGCCCGCCAAGAAACGGGCTACCCTCAAACACCGGACAGTCTCTCGAAAATGACGGGAAAAATCCACCCAGCCCAGTTCCAACCAGCAAGGGCTGCCCCGTCGAACAGGCTGCTTTGGGTATGAATATCAATTTGGCGCCTAGGTGAAAATTTGTGCCTACCGACCATTTGGGAGGGTGTTCTTTAATTATTGAGATTCGTAGCCGAATATGTTGGGTGCTTGCCCACTTGCAACCAGTCTAAGCCTTTAGAAGGGTTGACCAGCGGGTTGTCAAATTGACACTTCAAATGTTTTGCTGTGAAACCAAGAGGACATCCAAAGTTTGTTGCAACCATACGAGACAGAACATCAAAGCACAAACTTGAGATAGCAAAACAGATATGATATTTGGCACATATATCTGTCAAACATACTAGCGGTACGTCTTTGTGAACTAATTGTGCAGTAGCCGCTAATCGCAGGCGAGCTGCAAAGTTCAGCAGAATGGCCCAAAGGAGGAACATGACCTTGCGATCTCACACGCGAGATTGCTGGAGTGGCAAGGGCCGCGACAGGCTGGGTGTTTCGAGTTGACACCTGGGCTTGTTGGGATCTATGTGGACCATGCAGGTCCCCAATTTAATCATGCATTGCCAATTCCCGGCCCATGCCGGGCCATCTTTGTCTGACCAAGATGAAAAACAAGGGAGGGCGTTCTTTTTGAAGGGTATATACCCTTTTTGGGGTTGGTTTAAAGGCCAACCCAAAGGAAGCCAATCATTCATAGGGTTGCCAAATGGGCGCCAAGGGAACACGCCGGACTTTTTCTCACATGAGTTCCAGGTTGCCATGGAGTCCAGGCTCAATGTGGGGCTTTCTCAAATTTTGGGACTCCAGGTGGTTAGTTTCCTGGCGTGCCTTAAAAGCCATCCAAAAAATCGTCTTTTCTTTGCGTGGTCTGAGGGATCTGACGTTCGGCACCAAATCCAAGCAGCATCCCCGCTGTAAAAGGGAGTCCAGAGGTCCCCCAACTTCCTCTTGTTGCACAAGGGGAATGGGAGATTGCCCTAATGGGAGAATATCTCACTCATTCGCAAGGAAAGGGTGAGCTTCCGGTTGGGGAATCAGTCATGGGCCGTGCATGGGCCACGCATGGGACCCACGGGCATGTGGGACTCCGCGTCTTGGGAGAAATCGCCGGCCGCCTAAAGTGCTGTTTTTCCTGGAGGGTTGTGAAGCAAACATGGCATCCTCATTGCCTGAAGCATTTCAACAATTGCGAAGTCTCTAGCTTCGCATACCTCTGAGACCGTACCGTTGATGGACCCAAGCCACATACCCCATGTGACCTAGTAGCCGCAAAGGGATACGTGACTTCCCCCCGAGAAACAAGGGCCCCACCCCTCCCCCCCCCGCCCCCAGAAATGCAGGACATGACTGAGCTGTCAAAATTGATCTTCCTCGCTCGAGCGAAACCACAAAGGAGATCGGCAGAGCCCTGCATAAGATCCCGATAAGATCCCGATAAGATCCCGAAAAGATCCCGAAAGAGGATCCTTCCCCCCGCTGAGAATCAGGCTCTGCCCTTTCGCACGAGACGATCCGCTTCCTGCAAAGTCCGGAGCCGCGGCAGGGCGCCCTCTGTTGATGTGGAAAAGAACACCAGCCTCTACTTGATGGGCAGGGGTTCCTCCTATCAAGGAACTCTGCAGCAACATTTGTCCTCTGTGATTTGCCAGAGCCACGCATGCAAACAACAGAATCGTAGTGTAAGACTCGTATGATGCGTTCCCTCAACTTTGATCTGAGTCAAGTCTGTGTGTCCTTTCCGAGATTCCGGCCACAGTTGCACAACCTGATGTCTTAATCTGGCTGGGTTGTTGTTCCCGTCCAGCAAGAACAGAAAGTTTGATCAGACACGGCTCAACAGGCTGGAGCAAGAAGTCCTCCTGCCAAAACTCATTTGCCCAAAGGACTGAGAAATAAAAGGGAGACAGTCAAGCACCACAACCAGCTTGAACCAAAAAAGGCTCACACTGCCAACCAAAACCGCGCCATGCTCCTAAAACCCCACATGCACAACACACACACACACACACACATAAACACACGTAAGCAGGGAAAACCAACGAAAGACCGACAAATTGCTCTGCTTTTCGCAGTGTTGTGGCTCCAAGTAGTCTCCCTTAGTTCAAGGTACTCTGTAGAACACACCAGTTTTGGGAAGAGCGCTTTCACATGTCTGCAAATGATGCTCAAAACATGAAGGTGTCTCAAGGAGGTCAACCCGAATCTCATCATATCTCGCTATGTGTCGGTGTGTCTCTTTCAGCACACCCCCGCCCCAAATCGTGGTTTTCCTGTTGGTTTCCTTTCAAACGCCCCCAAAAAAAGAGCCCTTAAAAAAGACACCCTGGTAGATTGAAACAAATGCCCCGAAGCGCCTTGCCTGTTACAACCAAGGGGACACAAATACGTGCGCCGGCGGACGTGCCTCAACCAAAATTTCCCTTCGAATTGGGGATTGCCAACCCCTACATGGAGGGTGTGTAAGGATTGTGTGCAAGCCTATAATATAATATACAGCCCTTCCATGAATTTACGAGGCATGGTCAAAACTGAGTGCTTGTTTTTCCATTGGACATGTCGTGGAATCTGCTCGACCGAACTTCCCGGTACTTGGGCCCCACGAAACCCACGAGTTCGCCCGGAAGAGCGTTCGAGCGTTCCGGCGCGATGGATCGCCTGCTTTGGGAGCTTCGACTCCTGGTCTTCCGCCTTTCAGCGGGGAACCGAAGCAAAAGCTCGAAAACCCTTCGTGGGTTGAGGGAAGTGGGCTTTCTTTTTACTGGGTAAAGGGAGGTGGGTCTGTGTTCTAGGTCCTCCAGTGGTTTTGAGGTTAGAATAAGTTTGTACCCGATTCTTTTTCAGCTTTGTCTATTTTAGTAGGGGAGCCCTCCCAACCAAAAAAGAAACGGTAAAAGGGCACTACTGGGGGACCTGGAAAAGGTCGCTGGACCCTTCGTAGGCTGAGTTTACTGGAAACGCCGTTTGTGCCCAAAGCTTTGTTGGGGCCTTGTTCCGATTTGAAAGCCGCACACCCCCACAAAACCTCACATCCCCACCAAACCCTCTCCACGGTCAACTTCACGGGTCCTGCAGAGCAATTCTTTGTCAGCCAGAAATCCGCATTGTATTCTTCAAGGCCGGAGCAAATCACAGAGCGTCCCATGCAAATCTCGGAACTGACCCGTCAACGGCTGGCTCGCTGTGTACCAGGACCTGTTTTTGAATCACGTCCCCTTGAATCATCGTGCTAAGGTGACCTCAACAAAACACCACCTCCAGATCCGGAGGTCCCGCATCACATCCTCTGCATGTCGATGTCGCCATTGAATAAGAAAACCTCCAGCAACAAGGAGATTGAACACGAGCACAAGACGCAGTGGCACTATGCAGGATTCTGCTCGCCTGGCTTTTTACAACACGGCTGCCGCTGCCCATCTCTGACTATCTTTCTGAACCCCTTTTAGTTGCTGCTGAAAAGGAAACCAAAAAGCAAACAAACCATTTCGGTGTCCTTTCATTGAGAGACAAGGGCGTGCTCTCCAGTGAACGAATCGGTCAACTGCATCAGTGGGTCGAACAATGTGCCAAGAGCAAAGGGCATGTTCAGCAAAATGCACTATCATGTTTAAACCGGCGGCTTGTAGCATACCAAGGCTTTCAAATTTGACAGCCCTTTCTTTAAAACATGGACGTGGCCTTCAACGCGTGCAGTCAACTGGCGCATGTCAACGTTGATCAGGGCTACTGGCATTGCCTCGCTTAGGGCGAGCCACAAGATCGCATCGAGGTGGCCACCCATCGTGGTTGTGGAAAGTGGGAACCTTCATGATTCCAAAGTGGCTGCTTCCCGATGCAACAGAAAATGGCCCTCACAACCATCCACAAACGCTACACCCTTAAAATATGTCATCCTCCAAGCAACAAACCTTCATAGGGAAGCGCTCGTTTTGCCGCCAGGTGAGCTCACTATAACTTGTGGTTCTTTGAAGGCTTCCCTTGGCTACTGAAAATGTGCCCTTGGCTCACAGAAAGTGGCAACAACCTCAAAAACAACTCCCCTTGGCCACGCACGGCAGTGGCCTACAAGAACCCGGCACGTCCCCTTGGCCACACACCAAAAGATGGCAACCTAAACAGGGATCACTGGATTTCCCAAATTGATGGCCACTTGAAACAGGGAACTGACTGAGTGACCCCTGAAAACCGCACAGACTTGTGGTTTGCTCAATATTCCGTTCGACCTCCAAATGACCATGGCTAACTTCCCCCATCCAGGAAACATATCATTCATCTTTCTTCAGTGGCCAGGTCCTCCAGTAGAGAGGTTAGAATCAGGGTACCCTATTTTTCCTGTAGTCCAGTTTAGTAGGGGAACCCTCCCAACCAAAAAAGAAACGTTAAAAGAAACGGCACTGGACCTACCGGTGGTTTTCCCCAACTCCATGGCCGTTCCGAACGGCCCGGCGATCAACGCCCCCCTTGAGGCCCGGACCCCCGCCTCGGAGGTCTTGGGGCTGTCCTCGGCCTTCCGACGCGCCCGAAAGGCTCGCTCCGGGTGGCTCGCTCGAGGCTCGAGGCCCGCTCGCGGGGTAGGCGGAGGCGGAGGCTTGGTTTTGGCACGAGCGAACAAAAGGGGATGCGGAGGGAGCGGGAATATTTTGGGGGGGGGGGGGATTCCCTTGGCGCCATTGCCCATATCAAACTTCGTCAAGGTGCATTTAGGGGGAATCCTCCCGTATCCCTGGTTCCCCCTGTATCCCTGCCAGTTGGGTTCCCTGATATTTATAGCTGACTTGTGGAGGAAACTGCATTATTCGGAGGCTTGAGCATATCTTAAAGCACTCAATACAAATGATTTGTTTGCCCCCCAGAAGGAATCTAAGTGCACGGCAGAACGCATGTGATAGAACCCATTAGGGTCCTCTGAAGGGATGAACATTGATTGGAGGTTCTCGACCCTACACCCATCAGGCATCCCCTGAGACATCTTCCATAGATAGACTCTGCTAAATGATTAGAAGCCAAGCGTGCTTCTATTTATCTTCAACCGAGCCAACCGGATCAAAGCAAACCAACGTTCGTGAATACAATGGGTATGTGTCGAAATAGGGGGACCCCCAAGATTGGTGGGTGTCCCTTTTGGTTTCCCTTCAAACCAAACTTAAAATTGTACCATCCAAAGAACGAAACAGAGAAGCAGAGGAAGTCAAGCTAAGGGAAACCAAAGGAACCCCCAGGAAACCAAGGGAAACCAACTGAGGGACACCCACATCCTTCCACCCCCCCTCCCAGCCCCTCCGTCAATCCGACCCCCTTTTTTCCGCGGCCTCGCTGCGGCGGAGCCGGCCTGCGCTCCGAGAAACCGTCTGGGGGTCCAAAGCGAAAGGATCCAACATGTCAAAACCTGGAATCAAACACCAGGGTGAGCACCAGCGCCAGCATCCTAAAGGCCCATGGGACTAGTCACAAAATGGCCATGGGTCAAAACCCAAATCGGTTGGCCCCCAGTGAACATCTGATTCAATCCAACCACTAAACTACGTTCTAACATGGGTGGTGCACCGAAAACCCCAAAACGGTACCATTGGTTTTGACCCACAGCCACATGTCAAAACCTGGAATCCAAAAAGGAAAATACCCAAAAAGGCTCAGAAAGCTTGAAGAAAGATCTACCTCAAACTCAAGCATCAGAAGGCCAGACACCTGCATCTAGTTCTGAATTGTCCGCCGCCAAGCTTCTACCTATGTAGGTGTGTTGCTTGCGGTTTGTGTTGGAAGAAACGGAAACAGACCGCACTGCATCTGAGTTTGGTCCATTTCTTTACCGGGCAGTAACTTGGGGGATCTGGAAGATCAGAACATCGCCTGCCCCCCTGCGGTTTGGCGAATTACATACCAGGAGCCCTTCAGCACCCAATGGGCAAAATGCAAGCTGGAAGCTTGGCAGCACATTGGCACGGTGCGGACCACCGCAATGCCATGTATCCCGCCGGTCAAGCATTAATACGTTGCTTAGAAGTGAGCACGAGCACTTTTCCGGCAAGGGGCTGGGTCAGACTGAATGGCCCAGTTCCACTTTGTTGAATGATGACGTGTGCATGCAATGCAACCATCCCTTGCATGCAACTGGAAATGGCAACTGGCGCCCCACAAATGCACCAAGTAAACATATGAAAAACCAAGTCTTGAGAATTGCGTTGTCCACTTTGGAAACAATCCCAGTGACAAGGCCTGATAAGACCTGGGTCTAAAAAGGCAGGCGCACCCTCCAGCATTTTCAGCTCGATGCCTTAAACTTCCCACCTGGTTGCACCACTATTCAACGATCCTCATTTACAATTAGGTGAAAGATTGTGAAAGTGGCCTGCAAAATTCCATGTTGGTTTGGTCACCCCCATTACATGTCCAGAAAAGTGTGCCATCCACTTTCACCTGGCGTACCTAGATTTGCCCAGAGCTCTAGAAAGAGCCACGCATCTGTGAACAGAAGTGTCTAGAGACCATGCTTGCCCAGAGCCACACAGCTACTGTGGATGGACTAAATCCTGCACCACCTAAGAAACCCTGGACTGATGATTTCCCTGTAACTACAAACAAACAATGGTTTCCCATGGCTTCAAAGTGGTGCAGGATTTCGTCCATCCACAGTATGAACAGAAGTGTCTAGAGATCATGCTTCCCCATGATTGTGTGCGTCTCCCAGAAGAGTGCTGCAATCAATTCCGCCTCAACCTGCTCCCAGCTTCCGCAGGAAAAGGACCCGCCCTCCCCGGCCTGTCAGGAAGTAGAGCACCGAAGCACCAAGGAAAGCAGCGCCGGCCATAACTGCAAGCACCTCGGCCGAAGGCCTCACGGAAATCCTTCCTTTTATCTTTCAGCAACTAGTATTCCTGAAACAGTTCTGACCAAAACCAACATCTGAAGATCAACTTTATCTTTAGGCAACATTGCTCAAGCAGTTCCGACCAGTTCTGCCATCTGACGGCACTTGATGTGGTTGTGGTGCTGCATGCAAACAGGCCGACGCCGGATGTTTTCGTGGGCTCCTGATAGCGATCCTGTTGCTGCTATGAGAAGGCCGAAACCACATCAACACACACACACACAACACCGAATGTACCCGACAGACTATGTGGCTGTCATCGAGGGTATAACTCCGGAACTTGCCAAAAGCAAACAACTAAACATATATATATATATATATACTAGTCATATATATATATACAACACACACACACACACACACACATGCGCGGGCATTTGTCTCATAACGATCCCTGGCACAATGGCTTGCCATTGTTCTTTGGCCAAAACCTGTGTGGTGTCCCGGCGGCCCTTCTTTTGGCCGCTGAGCCTGAGCCTGCCGAAGCCAAACTTCTTCACCGTGTGGAGTCGAAACCAAACCCCCAAAACCCTAAGCCCGGGCAGGAACCGAAAGCCGAGAAACACTTTCGCACTTTCGACCTTTGGGGGCACCTGGGGCCTTTGGAAAAGGCGTTTCGTGCGGCTTCGAAATCGGGACGAACGGGTACTTAGTCAATAATCGATTTGCTTGAGAGGGGTTTTTGAGTGTGAGTGGCGTGGATGGACTTGGTTTCAACCAAATGCTGCAACACTGTGGGGTGGGAAGCCCGTGTAACCATATGCGAGGTGCCTCCCTGATCAAGAAAAGGGACGAAACAAGGGCCTGAAACATTGCAGACAGGATCGCTTATGACCATGACTTTAGTTGTTGGGGCTGCCCGTGTCATCATTCAGGGCTGTTCGGGAGAAAAGCATCCGTGGCGGACACATCAGAGACAGGGCCACACATCCCAGCAGTCTTCAAAACGTCAGCTGATCATCACGTTAAATCCAAAGGCGCCACAAACTACCTCGTTCTCGACAATAGGGACCACACGAGCCAAATGACAACATATCCATGGTTCCCTCCGTTTCAAGTGACATTCAACAAGCCTGACACGCACGCCTGTTTCGAGGAAAAAGCGGAGACTCGCTCAGGTTTCCCAAAAATGATGCATCCACAATTCACAGTTCAAATCGGGTACCAAATGAGCTCTTCAAGACGGGTATGTGTCCAAACACAGGGTCCCCAAAGCCAGTGGGTCTTCCCTCCCTTGAAGCCAATCTGAAAAGGGTACTCTCAAAATTCACGGGTTCGTCTCAAACTTTGTGTGCCATAACAGGATGGCGTCCATGTAACTTGCCTTTTCCATCAGCCCAAAAGGCGAACCCAGTGGTTGTTCCGCCCCCAAACTTGCCCATGCAACTTCTTGGTGAGGGCACAACGGCATCAGGATGCAGGGTGAGGTGAGCCTGGCAATGAATATATATATATATATACATATGTATTTCTATATATACATATATATATATATATATGGTCACATGAACTACCGTTCCTTCCTTCTTCATAATATACATATATATATATACACACCCATAATTTGCTTTGTCTCATGGGGTAAGCCTGGTTTGCTTTTGGTTCCCTGTGAAGCCAAGCACACACACACACACACACACGCACCTCAACTTGCCCAAAGGCCAAGTTGTAAAGGAAGAGTTACCCATGGTCATTTAGGGGCCGAACGGAATACTGATCACCCCCCATATGGGTCTGTTCTTTTGGGTTTCCCGTTTTTTGGAGGGTGTTGCAGGGAAACCACAGGACAAGTTTGCCTCGGTCAACCCCCAAGTAGACCAAAGAGGGAAAAAAACAACCCCCAAGTAGACCCCGAAAGAAAAAGCACAAGAAAAAAAGAAAAGAAAACAAAAGAAACAAAATAAAAAGAACAAGAAACACGGAGAAAAAAGGGGAGAAAAAAAGGGGGAACAAACAAAAAAAAAAAACACCCATCGAGGTGTGCGCTGCCGCACCCAGGTGGGCGTCGATGCCCTCCTGCGCCCAGACCTGAAGTCCGAGTCGAGTCGAGTCGGGGTGTGGTGGGGGGTTGGTCGTGGGGTGGGAAGCCCAACTAGGTCCTCCAGTTGTTTGAGGTTAGAATAAGTTGGTACCCACTTTTTTCAGGATGTCTATTTTAGCAGGGGAACCCCCCAAAACAAATCCAAGGGGAAAAGGGCACTACTGGGGGACCTAGCCAACCAAGCTTGCTGGTGCGCTAGGTAGGCCCTCTGGGGATGGCTTATAATCCCTTCTTCATTTTTATTAACGGACCTCCAATAATGAAAAACCCTCTAGCCGACCCGAAGAGATGCCAATCCGCTTTTTTTGAATTTCCCAAACTCTCTCGAAACCAAGCCAAGCTCCCCAGATGTGCTTTGTTGGGGCCACCTGAGCGGGAGAAGGTTTTACATTCGGTCCCCTTCATAAGTTCTTACTTTGAAAAGTTGCATCGAGTGCTACTGGTACTGGGGTTGTCCAAAAAATCGGGCCCAAAAATTGGGTATCCCCTTAATCGGCGGCTAAAAAACTCGAGCTTCGGCACCGAAACGGGTCCAACAAGGGGCCGGGCGCAGAAGCAACTGGGGCCCCCGGCGATGGCCACCACCCCCGCGGTGTTGCTGAAGGCCTGGCCGCAGGCGTGGTCCAACCACCCCCCCCGTTTGAACATCGTCCATTGACGTTGGAAGGGGAGCACCAACTTCAATTTTGGCAGTTAAGTGGGGATTTCAACCACTAAACCACAATAAGCAAAAAATGTAAGATGGTTCCCAACAACAACCTTGTTTTGGCTTCCCCTTCAAGCTTCAAAAGCTACCTGAAGAGAAAATGGCCCCTGGTTGGAAATCCAAAACAAGCTTTGAAGGTCTTGAAAGAGTACAAATCCCATCGAAGGTTGACATTTGTGGGCACGCAGGGGATCTTCAATCAGATCTGACTCGCGTGAGCTGCTCGGCATCCAACGAGACCATGACTTTGCCCAAGGACAAGAGGCAACAAAAAGAACTTCAAAGAGGTAGGCACCCGAGAAGGAATTCTCTTTTCTGCAAACATCTGAAAGCCGCAAGGACGATTGCTTGAAATTGTGTTGAGACAAATGACGCACCCCTGGGTTACATGTAGGGCCCTTTGGGGTCCGCTGGAGCCAGGTCACTCACCGGAACCTGGGAGTGAGGCTGTGCGAATTCGGGCCACGGCTTCTGTCATTCAACTGTGGATTACGATCCAACAAACATCATTGATCTATTCATGTATCTAAGTCTTCATTATCTAATGAATCTATCCCAAAGCGAGACATTCGCTCTTGCGTGTTCATCAAACAACTCGACCCGCGCAAGTCAAATGCACCCACTCTGCCTATCTTACGTCGATGTACATGTGATTGGCTTACACCTATAATCAATTCGCCTAGTCTCTACCAATGTTCACCTGCTATCCGCAGCTTTGCCTGTCTCCAAAATAGGGAATTCTTCTGGAAAACAAGAAAGGTCAACCCCCTGAAGTCTCCAAACCATATGGATCGAAAACATATTAACCCGGTTGAGGAGATTTCCCAAAAAGTCACACCAACATTAATGTCGCACTCAACTAAACAAACAAAAGCATCCGATAAAGGGGTGGGTGCTCCCAGAAGGAAAAGCAAGCAAAAAGCAGACACCAACATATCGCCAGGCATGGGCTGCTCTCGCGGCCACCCCTGAGCCTGGCAGCTCACTCGAGGCAGCTCCGGATTGAGATGCGATGACGCAGACCGAGAGTCGTTTCCACAAATCCGCAAGGAGAAGAGGGATCCGGGGACGGATCCAGCCCCAGCTCGGCCGTTTCCTGTCTCGAGATTTGCGCCTGGCCAGGTTGGACATAAGCCCGGAATGAGCCGGGGGCCATCGTTACGCTTCCAACCTCTGCGCCGATCGTCCAGGTAGTTAGCACCAAATGCTCTCCCATCCGCACCCTTCTCTTCGAAGCTTCCCCAGCTTCGGGCGACATGCGTGGGAAAACACAAACCAACAGAAAACCACCGTCTCACCCACCCCACCCCAACCCCCCGAGAAAATGTCCCGTTGGCCTCCAGAAGGCCGTTCACGGTGGCCTCCCTTGCAGGAAAGCAGACCTGGCTTTCCGCGATGTTCATAAGGTTTCACGCCGGAAAGAGCATCCGAGGCCACTTGCCCAAAGGTTGTCTTTTGGGCCACTAAAAAAGGACCTGAATTGGAAAACCAAAAGGTTCAATGGTCGGCGTTTCTCCAAATTTCCAGACTCAAGGCGCTTGGATTCCTTTGGTTTCCCTTCGAAACCGAAACCCTGGTGGTTCCTGATTTTGAGCAACCCCCACCTGCATGGGAGTTGTTCAACATGGTTGGGGTTGATATACCCAGCGTAACCGAAAGGGAAAACACATTTTTCAGGGACCACCACATGGTCGTGGAACATTTCCCGAGAAATGTAATAACATGCACTTTACAGGGGCCCCCTCACAAAAATGGCCCCAAAACTAGTTTCCTCCAAGTTCACTGTAGTTAACCGCCAGTTGACCCCCAGCTACCCCCCTCCCAGCGAACCCCCTGTTTACCCTCCACTTATATCCAGGAGTTACAAACCATCTAATTAGCTACCTCCTGGAACATCTAGCACCCTCTGGAAAACAACGTGGGGCTGAACACGCCACGTGAAGGGATGATGGGCAGTACTTCTATGCGGATCCTTCCCCCCGAGACTGGAACGGGCGGGTAGTTTTACCTGGACAAGGTCTCTCAAAATCGGAATCGCTGCACTTCCCAAAATGTGGAAAACGGTTTTCCCGTGGCTTCCCCTTGACTACCGACCAGAAACGGGGGTCAGAAGCTACCCAGAGCCGCAGCTCTGGAGAGATCCGAAGCCTTCGAGGCGTCCATGGTGCGGTCCCGGTTTCCTTTGAACACTCCGAGCCCGCTTTACCTGAGTCTTAAGGCGAGCCAAAAGGAAACCAACCTCTTGTTTTTGGGGGTTTTGGGGGAAACAGATTTCGGCACATACCCTTGGTCGACCGCTACCATGATGAAACTGCAAATGTTCTTCAAGCGCAAACTAAATTCTCAGACCAACTCAAAGGCCCATGCTTGACTCACAATGCCCTGGCCGCTCAAAGCCATGAATAACACAAACCAGGCATGGAAAACCTTCCGCCCGCCTCAGCGCCCAGTTCCGCAGAGCAGCCCCAGCCTGCCAGGAACGCATCCCTTTCGATTGAAGTTTGACGTGAAACCAGAAGGAAGCCAACAAGCTGAAGGTCCGACCTGTTGGGTCCAAGTGGTTCTATTTCACCCCAAATGGGTGCGTATCTGTTGGTTTCCCTGAAAGCAACCGACAAAATGAGCACACCTAACCCAAACAAAACTTGGGCCCATCCCCGCCAACCTACGCATCTAAGGAACCCCTGGTAAAGGTCCTTCATGGGGCTCGATTTAACCCGTGAGCTCAGCGTCCCTACGAGTAGCACGCTGATGGGTCGCCCGCTGTGTTTTGGCAGTTGGTTCATGAAACAATGGGTGAAACACATTGGGAATACCCAAGGTTATAAGGGGGCTAACCCGAGCTATAACCATGGCTTTAATCCACTTACCTGGCTTGGGTTGAACGTCCAAGTACAATGCGTCCCGCCTGGCGTGGCAAGACCCATGATGCCCACTGCAAACACGAAGACGTTGGGCGACATCTGGTAGTGCAAACACCTTGGATATCGCCGCATGGCTGAACCACGAAACTGACGAGTGTGCTCTTTGGTGTCCCTTTAAAACAACCCACAAATGCTACCCCCCCAAAAAAAACAAGCACCCGCATGGCCTGGCTGAACCCCCCTTGCATGGCGAGTGGTCCCTTTGGCTTTCCTTTAGAGCAACCCCAGGGTACATGGCCCGGACCCTCCAACTTCCCTCTAGTGGTTTGAATTGACACCTCGAAAGTGGTTTTGAATACCCCGCAGAATGTTCACAAGAAACCCAGCGAAAAAGAGCCCCGCTCGCCTGGTGAAACCTGACTTCCGCCCTTAGGGGTCAAACTTTCTCAGGCCGAAGTCCTGTGCGAACTACCCGAGGAGACTCAAAAGTGGGCACTATCCGGAGTAGAGCTTCCTCCACACATGGCCATGTTAATTTCAGTAGAGTAACCTCGGTTAAGGGTGTGGCAACAAGTGATGGCAAGCCACCATGAGCCACTAATCGCCTGGAGAACTCTTTAGCTTTTACACATTCCCGTCGTTGGCCAGTGCGATCAGTCCGTCCAAGCAGACGCGCTTCAAAGTTCACTCCGCTGATGCCAAATGCCGCTGCTCTCGATGCTTGTGACGAGCTTCTCACTCGGCTGCTCAGATGCCTCTACGTTCCCATCTGCGTTCTCGCACATTCGCGGCGGAATGCGGAACCTGCACCACAAAAGCCAGCACCTCCATTTGCTTAAGTCCCCTGGAAAACAATAATCCAGTAGTGGTAGATTCCCTTTAAAACCAACAAGCAAAATAAACAAATAAACCAATTGAAGAGCACGAAGGTCTCTTTCTCAACAAGCGCCAGCCCGGAAGTGGCCAAGACATACATTGACGCCCGGGAAGTCCTAGCAAGCTGTGTGGTCCTTTCATCTGACGCTCTGAGCAAGTTACTTCCCTTCATGAGGAGTAAGGATCACAAACTAATTCACAAACATGAGAGAATTGTGCCATCTTTCACCTAACTCGCAAAGACTGGCAAACAAAGACGTGTCCAAGGTACCGTCATGGCGATGATGGAAGATTTCGGTTTATTTCAGGTGAGTTCGTTATCATTTCTACAGAAAGATGGCAGGTGCATGGTAGCAACTTCGCTCAATATGATACGGGAGCCAAACAATCACGAACATTGTCATGTCATATCAACATTACTTACTTTAGTTTTAGAGCCTTCCACGACCCCATTCTATTTGCTTAGGCCTTCTACAAATCCAAGGCGCGCGTAGCCAGCCAGCAGCGATGTGGCCATGAAGAGGTTCGAGATGACTAGGGCAACCTGAAAAACGCGCAAACGACTACAAATCACTCTCTCCATGACCAAAACTTGGCGAGACATAGATGCCTTGCCAAAAGTTAACTTGCCGGCTAGAAGAGAAGATGAAGGCAAACCAGTCAGCTAAGTCTGGCAATGAAAAAGTCAAACACTGCAAAAACGAGAGGTCAAACAATCAGTTTGGAGAAGTAGCAGCAGTTTCTATTTCACAAACCCCGACAATCATTGCGGGTGCGACCCTGGCCCCATGGGATTTGAGCATCAGCTCTTCATCAGAATGGTTCAGCCGCGGGGTCAAGAAAACACAAGCGAACACGCCCTCCAAAATGATTGGTTTCCTCCGTGCTCGAGTTTAAACGCACCGAATGTGGGGCTAAGGGATCAAAAAAAAATTAATTCAGGATCAAAAAAAATTAAATTCTGTAGTAGTAGTAGTAGTAGCAGTAGTAGTAGTAGTAGTAGTAGTAGTGGTAGTTGTAGTAGTGATAGTAGTGGTAGTAGTAGTAGTAGTAGTCGTAGTAGTAGTAGTAGTAGTGATAGTAGTGGTAGTAGTAGTAGTAGTAGTAGTAGAGTAGTAGTAGTAGTAGTAGTAGTAGTAGTAGTAGTAGTAGTAGTCGTAGTAGTAGTAGTAGTAGTAGTAATAGTAGTGGTAATAGTAGTGGTAGTAGTAGTAGTAGTTAGTAGTAGTAGTAGTAGTAGTAGTAGTAGTAGTAGTAGTAGTAGTAGTAGTAGTAGTAGTAGTAGTAGTAGTAGTAGTAGTAGTAGTAGTAGTAGTAGTAGTAGTAGTAGTAGTAGTAGTAGTAGTAGTAGTAGTAGTAGTAGAGTAGTAGTAGTAGTAGTAGTAGTAGTAGTAGTAGTAGTAGTAGTAGTAGTAGTAGTAGTAGTAGTAGTAGTAGTAGTAGTAGTAGTAGTAGTAGTAGTAGTAGTAGTAGTAGTAGTAGTAGTAGTAGTAGTAGTAGTAGTAGTAGTAGTAGTAGTAGTAGTAGTAGTAGAAGTAGCAGCAGAAGTAGTAGTAGTAGTAGTAGTAGTAGTAGTAGTAGTAGTAGTAGTAGTAGTAGTAGTAGTAGTAGTAGTAGTAGTAGTAGTAGTAGTAGTAGTAGTAGTAGTAGTAGAGTAGAGGAGTAGTAGTAGTAGTAGTAGTAGTAGAAGCAGTAGTAGTAGTAGGTAGTAGGTAGTAGGTAGTAGGTAGCAGGTAGTAGGTAGTAGGTAGTAGTTAGTAGGTAGTAGGTGGTAGGTAGTAGGTAGTAGGTAGTAGGTAGTAGGTAGTAGGTAGTAGGTGGTAGGTGGTAGGTAGTAGGTAGTAGGTACTAGGTACTAGGTAGTAGGTAGTAGGTAGTAGGTAGTAGGTAGTAGATAGTAGGTAGTAGGTAGTAGGTAGAAAGAAAAAGAAAGAAAGCAAGCAAGAAAGAAAGAAAGCAAGCAAGAAAGAAAGAAAGAAAGAAAGAAAGAAACAGACAGACAGACAGACAGAAAGAAAGAAAGAAAGACAGAAAAATATGGATGCCCTGCAGCAGGGTCTAGGCTGGTAGGTAGGGCAAACACAGCAAAGCCTCACTGCGCATGTATGTGTGTACAAATATCTATATATATATATATTATAAATACATATGTGTGTGTTTCTATGTGTGTATGTATGTGTGTATGTATGTGTGTATGTATGTATGTATGGATGGATGTATGTATGTAGGTATGTATGTATGTGTGTATGTGTGTATGTGTGTACGTATGTCTGTATGTGTGTACGTATGTATGTCTGTATGTATGTATGTATGTGTATGTGTGAATGTACGTATATGTGTGTGTATGTACGTACGTATGTATGTCTGTATGTATGCATGTGTCTACGTATGTGTGTGCGTGTGTGTGTGTACGTGCGTGTGTGTGTGTACGTATGTATGTATGCGTGTACGTATGGATGTCTGTATGTATGTATGTGTGTGTGTCTGTGTGAATGTACGTATGTGTGTGCATGTACGTACGTATGTGTGTGTATGCACGCGTGTATGTATGTGTCTACGTGTGTGTGTGTGTGTTTGTTTGTGTGTGTTTGTGTGTGTTTGTGTGTGTTTGTGTGTGTGTGTGTGTTTGTGTGTGTGTGTGTGTTCGTGTGTGTGTTTGTGTGTGTGTGTTTGTGTGTGTTTGTGTGTGTGTGTGTGTTTGTGTGTGTGTGTGTGTGTTTGTGTGTGTGTGTGTGTTTGTGTGTGTTTGTGTGTGTGTGTTTGTGTGTGTGTGTGTGTGTGTTTGTGTGTGTGTTTGTGTTTGTGTTTGTGTGTGTTTGTGTGTGTGTGCGTGTTTGTGTGTGTTTGTGTGTGTGCGCATGTGTGTGTGCATGTGTGTGTGAGAAGCGAAATGAAATTCAACTGAAATGAAATGAAATGAAATGAAAATGAAAACATAACGAAATTGAATCATAATGAACCGAAATGAAACGATGACAATTTGAATGAAAGACTGAAGGAACGAATGAATGAGTGAATGAATGAATGATTGAATGAACGAATGAATGAATGAATGGATGAATGGATGAATGAATGAATGAATGAATGAATGAATGGATGAATGGATGAATGAATGAATGAATGATTGAATGAATGAGTGAGCGAGTGAGTGAGTAGGAGAGGCCATCTGAGATTCTGCAGCCTTCGCCGTGTCAAGCAACAAGCCTTTTCTTTGCAATTTCGGGCCCAGCTCCACTGACAAGACCTTGGATGCTGCGCACCTGCTGCCGTGCAAAGTTGTTCGCGGTCTCTTCCCTGCTTTTGCACCGAGGTCGTTCCCGGCAATGTCCTCGCGCGAGTGCAAGAATGAGGCCTGCCCTCACCGCTGAGCGTCGTGTCCTGAGCAAACTTGCATTGCCAGAGGTGCCACCAAAGCGTTCGGCGTGGGCCGACATGTGTGACGAGGCACTTGGCGTCGGGTGATGTGGAAGTGTGCCAAAACAAAAGTAGGAGCCGTGTTTCTAACAGGAATCCCAAAGCAAGCTAGCCACTTGTGTCCACTTGTAGGGGGCCACGTGTGACACATCCCCAAATTGCGTTTCTGTGCCAAGAGGCAGCCCCGGTACTCAACAAACATGAGTTCGTGTCCTCTGGGCTCAGGAGCAGTCTCAGGACGATTGGGAGGCCTTGCTAAGGGAAACAGGGCTGAGGTAGAATTGCTGGCCCTGCGCTCCAGGATCTCCCTCCGCTGGAAACACTGCAGGACAGGCGTCGCTCGATATAGTGTTGCCCAAATTGACTGAAAGACTGTGCGCACGCGTGTCATCCTACCAAGGAGGATGGATCTTGGGCGGAAGTGCAGACTGAAGAGGAGGCCCTAGCGTTGCGGCAATGTTTTGTGTGGCGAGCAGCTTGCCAACACACCGTATCCTGCGTTTTGCCACTTGCCTGCAGCGCCCGGAGTGCAGGTTCGAGCTCAGGACGCTGTAGCCCCAGACCAAAGCTGACAATTGTCCTTGAGACGAACTTTTTACCCAGAAAGTCGGACCCACCTGATATTACATCCAATATTTGGGTTGAGGGCCATGCAGTCAGCAAATACAAAAATCATATCAGCTGGGTCTGACTTCCTGGGTCCAAGCCTCGCCCTTTTGCGGCTGAACGCGCTGTTCTGAGTGCTGAGGCGACCGACGCAGAGGCAAAGCTCGGCGCTGCAGAGGAGGCGCTTGCAGTGAGAGCGCAAGCTGCGAAGGGCTAGTTTCTTTCCCCAACGCTTCACTGGTTTTGGGGTTTTACGTGTCAACGGCAGGTGCTTTTTTCGAGGTTTTGAGCTGCCCGTTCATTTGCCCTTTGACGCGCTGCCCAGGATGATGTTCTGGAGGGAAACGCTGACAAAGTGGAGCTGAAGGCAGGCTGCTGGTCATGTGTGTTTTGCCCTCGCGCGCGCTGGCGCACCTGGAGGCATTGAGTGGCGCAAGTGCACGGCGCTCCAAGCTAAGTTTGCTGGCCTGCGCTGCGATCAGTGTCGCCTGTGTCGCTCAGCTTGCCCGCTGCCTGAACAGTGCGCGGCCGGCGCCATACGCCGTGCCCGCGCTGATGCCTGCCCCAATGTTCTTCCCGCAGATGATGGCTGACCACATTCCCCTGAGCCCGCCTTTCCTGCCACACACTCGGCAGTCAAACGATGAGACCTGCAAAGGCGCTGTCCTGCCACACTCTGATGTGCCTTTTGTCGCTTTCTTCCAGAGTTGGTGCCGTCGCATAGTGTTGTTTCCTCAGTTGTTGTTGGCGCAAGCTGTTGGCCTGCCGTTTCCTCAGCTGTTGTTGGCGCAAGCTGTTGGCCTGCTGTTAGCAGTAGCCCTTGCTGGGAAGGAAGCCTTCAAGTCAGAAAGGAAACGCGCACGGCGCTCGAAGCTGAGATTGCTGGCTTGCGCTGCGGTCAGTGTTGCCTGTGTCGTTCAGCTTGGCCGCTGCCTGAACAGCGTGCGGCCGGCGCCATATGCCGTGCCTGCCCTCATGCCTGCCCTCATGCCCGCCCCAATGTTCTTCCTGCAGATGATGGCTGACGACCTTCCCCCGAGCCCGCCTTTCCTGCCACACTCTCGCCCCCCTTCTGCGCCGCCTCGGCAGTCAAACATTGATACCCGCAAAGGCCCTGGCCGCCCACACTCTGCTGTGCCTTTCGTTACTTTCTTTCAAAGTTGGTGCCGTTGCATAGTGTTGTTTCCTCAGGTGTTGTTGGCACAAGCCGTTGGCCTTCTGTTGGCAGCATGCCTCGCTGCGAAGGCAGCCTGCAAGTCAGAAAGGCAAGTGTTGAAGGCAAAGGCGCTCATGTGCGTGGCCATGATTTTCATTCAGCGTGCGGACACATTGTTGCGTTCACACCCAGCTTTCTCGTTGGCTCAATCACCGCCCTTTGACTCGTCAGATCAGACAGGTGTGTTCAGTGAGCCTGCCAGCGCAAGCCAATTTCAGCATTCCATTTTTGCATCGCTTGTCGAGGAGCCAGGCGATGTCAGTGGAGCTGGGCCCGAAATTGCAAAGAAAAGGCTTGTTGCTTGACACGGCGAAGGCTGCAGAATCTCAGATGGCCTCTCCTAGCTCTTCCTTCAAAACTGCCATGAAATCCCCTAACCTATTGCTGGTGTTTGCGATGGAGGGGGGGAAGAAAAGCCAGTTCTACTGATTGCGTGGATCACACACAGGCGCCGTCCCATGTCCACGCTAAACCGACCACTAAGTTCGAATAATAGTGTCCTGGCCGCGTGGAGCGTTTAATGGCACCTCAGGCTTCTCCAGCCACAAGCCCAGGAGAACACGTTGCTCAAGGATTGCTCAGCTCTTTCCTCAGAAGCATGTTCAAAAGAGCGTGGCCGGGGAAAAGGCTGAGGACGCAGGATGGACGCGCGCAGAGGCGTGCGGATGGGTGGATGGGCCCGGGCCGTGCGGCCTGACGGCATGCTCCCTCCCGCCATAGGCCTTCACGGCTGACCGCGTTTAGAGTTCAACATGCCGGCGCCCAGCTCTGCCAAAGTGGTGAGCAGGGTCTGCTGCACCCCACCACCTGCGCCAACAAAGGACAATGATTGTCAAAGGCTGGCCCGCAGAAGGGCAACACAGCGTGACATCCTCGAAATGCAAGGCGGCCCTATTGCCGCTGCCCGTCGTGATCACTCACAGAGGTACTAAGCCACAACCACACCCGGTGAATCTAAAGAAGGTGCGCTGTCCATCCACTACCTTCCACTCACCCTCGTGAAGTTAGGGTGTTGGCAGCAGCTCGCACCAACTTCTTTCGAGCCACCCTGCAACAGGGTCTAGGCTGGTAGGTAGGCCGACACCGCCTGTGTGTATGTATGTATGCATGTACGCATGCATGAATGTATGTTGTTTGTTTGTTTGTTTGTTTGTTTGTTTGTTTGTTTGTTTGTATGAGTGTGTGTGTATGTATGTATGTATGTATGTATGTATGTATGTATGTATGTATGTATGTATGTATGTATGTATGTATGCATGCATGTATGTATGTATGTATGTGTATGTTTGTTTGTTTGTTTGTATGTATGAGTGTGTGTGTGTATGTATGTATGTATGTGTGTGTGTGTATGTATGTATGTATGTATGTATGTATGTATGTATGTATGTATGTATGTATGTATGTATGTATGTATGTATGTATGTATGTATGTATGTATGTATGTATGTATGTATGTATGTGTGTGTGCGCATGCATGCATGCATGTATGTATGTGTGTGTGTGTGTGTGCCTGTTTGCGTGTGCATTTATGTGTGTATATGCATGTATGTACGTATGTACGTATGTATGCATGCATGTGTATGTAGTATGTAGTATCTAGTATGTGTGTGTGTATGTTGGTAGGTAGGTATGTACGCGTGCGCGCAGCCATGCTGATCGGACTCCGTGATTCCGTGATTCATCTCAACGCGACCCCCCCCCCCCCAAACTGTGCTGGATTGTTAAGTGGCTAACTGGCCCTCCCCCCGATTGCTAACTTGTTAACTTCCCCCCCCCTGCTAGATTGTTAACTTGCTAACTGGCCCTCCCCCGTGGCTAACTGGCCCTCCCCCCGATTGCTAACTTGTTAACTTCCCCCCCCCCTGCTAGATTGTTAACTTGCTAACTGGCCCTCCCCCCCGATTGCTAACTTGTTAACTTGCTACCTGGCCTTCCCCCCGGAAGGAGTGCTGACTTGTCAACTTGCTGACTTCCGCCCCCCCTCGCCCCCTCCCCTCCGACTTTGCTAACTTGCTAACTGGCCCTTCCCTCTCTCAGGATTGCTAACTTGCTAACTTGCTAACAGACCCTCGCCCCCCCCCCCCCGAAGGATTGCTAACTTCTGAACTTGCTAACTGGCCCTCCCCCCCGAAGGATTGCTAACTTGTTAACTTGCTAACCCCCCCCCCCGACTTCACTGACTTGTTAACTTGTTAACTTGCTAACTGGCCCTCCCCCCCGAAGCATTGCTTCGCTAACTTGTTAACTTGCTAACCCCCCCCCCCCCGCCACCGACTTCACTAACTTGTTAACTTGCTAACTGGCCCTCCCCCCTAACTTGTTAACTTGCTAACCCCCCCTCCCCCCCTCCGACTTTACTAACTTGTTAACTTGCTAACTGGCCCTCCCCCCCCCCGAAGGATTGCTAACTTGTTAACTTGCTAACTGGCCACCCCCGGTTGGCCCTGGGGCCTACGTGTGTGTGCTTGTAAAACGGTTTAATTTTTTTTTGATCCTGATTTAATTTTTTTTTGATCCTGAATTAATTTTTGTTTGATGCGCATGCCCGAATGTGGGGGCACCAACCGTGCATTTGCTTAAGGCCCTGAAGAGAAAAACATATTTCCAGTACCTGCATCTCTTGAAAGTTAATAATTCCCACTCCAAAAAGAAAAAAGAACTTTCTTCCATGCTGGACTGACAATTTTCACTCCGTATTAAAATGCCCGTTCGGGTAGTTCCGACTGCTCAGGCATCCGTTCGGACCCGTTCGGAACCCGTTCGAAACCCGTTCGAAACCCGTTCGAACCCGTTCGAACCCGTTCGTACCCGTTCGGACCCGTTCGGACCCGTTCGGAGGTACGTAAAAAATACGCCAACATTACGCAATAAGCCTTTGACAACTTATGTGCAGTGCTGATTTATGAACACTTCGATGGTAGTAAAAATATCCGTTCAAGAGTAGAAATACCCGTTCGAAAGTGGAAATACCCGTGTCCTCAGGCCAAAAAGTACTTTTTCAATTTTGGAGTAGGAATTCTTAACTTCCAGGAGATCCAGGTAGTGATAGGTTCCCTTCGCAACCAAAAAAGGACAACAAACAACATTCTGGAGTAAATGGAACTAACTGACAAGGCAAATCCACCCCACATCTGCCGCATCGACTTCGAAGGGCCTTGTAGAACCTCGCCGAAGTGATGCATCGCGCTTCCACAATGGTGCCTGGGCCCAGATTCCCACGCTCGTTCTCCTCATCTTTCTTATGCACCAATTCCATTGTAGCATTGCCAAAGTCAGCCCCAAAGTGGCAGGTTTTAAGGGAAACACTAAGGATTGCGAAGCACCTCGCAGCATGCCCCCGGACAATCCAAGAAATGTTCAAGCGACTGTGGTCTTTTCGGAGGAAGCAAAGGAGTCGATTTAGACCCCGACAATTATCTAATCATGTTAAGCCTCCTCTTGAAAGGGCCGGCTATTGGAAAACACCGCGCTGTTGTTGAGGCATCCTCCCATGGGCACGCCTCCAAGTGAAGCCTTCATTTGTTCCACCCATGCGGGCTCAACACTAGTCTCTTCAAACTAACAACCATGCTTGAAACAAAGACACCCGCTCTAATATAAGCCCTTGCGAAAGGGGATGTTTGTTACGTACCAACGTGTATGCGTGTTGGAGCTTACTTCAGTCCGGAACAATCAAGTTAGCTTTTAAACTCGGATCCTGCGTACGCTCATTGACATCCTTGCTACGGGTCCTGGTTGTGGAAAATAACAATGCCAAGGTAGGATTTCCATTCCCATGACTACCTTGTCACTACAACAGCCTCCTTGAGGCATGCCTTGACAAGGGACCACAGTCTAGTTTAAGTATTACTCTGTAAACTATAATTCAAAAAGCTGAATTAAGGGACCCCAAGCAAAGGACCTTTATGATGGTGAGCTCCTTCTACAAGCGAAGGGTGAGCTCGCCATAAAATGGGCAAAATACACATGCTTCGCCGGACGCAACTGGGGTGCTCAGGATGGATGTGACGCCACAAGAGATCGCCGTCCAAGAGGTCAGCGAAGCGTTAAAGCCTCGGGCATACCACCACACCCTGAAACAATCCCACCAACCATGCAAGTACCCCTGAAACCCCCCCTTAACGGCTTCGCGTAGAAACCGCGAAAAATGCCACTACAAACACGACACCCTTGGCTTTCTTTAAAAGGAAACAAAAATAACAAACGCGTCAAGAGTCGCAGTTCCGTTTCCAAGCCCCACCCAATCTCAAAGGCTTACCCTTTGTGGATTCCGTAAGACGCACCTGAATCAACCACAGTGGCAAATTGCCTCCTGTCCCCTCGCCATACCCGTGTGGAACGGTCCCAAACAAAGCACCCACAGAAAGGAGACCTGAGAATCCTTCTGCCGAAACTCCTCAGCTTGGGCAACGCTTCGAACCGGGACTAGGGACTGGAGCAGAGCCCCGTTTCCTCCATTTGCTTAAGTCCCATGGAAAAAAAGGAAAATATTCCAGCAGTGATAGATTCCCTTTGAAACCAACAGGGGAAATAAAACATATTCTTAGCCAAATGGAAGTTTCAAAGGGGTTGGCGCATGCTCCGCCAGTTGCGATTTCGAAGAAAACAAATACTGGCCTCCAACAAATCTGGCGCTTGTGAGGATCCATGTGCGGCTGTTTGTGTGTCTTTGTTCGGTCTTTTCGAGCAAAGACTGTTTTTGTCTCTCTTTCATTGATGAAACAGCATTTTGCACATTTCGACTTTTGTTTGGAGTTTCGTAGGTAGTGTGCGACTCGGACGGCCAAACAAAGGCGGAAAACCCCGGAACAAGGCGGACAAGTCCGGAAATCTTAGATGAGCGAGGTTACTTTTCCGCAAAAACAGCCTTTGTCCACATGGTGATATTGTTGCAGGACAACGACCTCAAAACTTGGTGCTTTTTGCTCGAAGGCGGTTTTTTCTCTTTCGCATACATAAACTCCGCAGGTCCCAAGAAGCACTGGAAATCTGACCATCCCCAGTGGATGAAGGGCCCCTGATTGACCACAAAGCCGCTCTCCGGCTTCGCGCGTGCTCAAGCCCGAAATGGTTGGTGTCCTTTGGGCTGAAATTTTGAAACCAACGAACAAAAGAGGTTCCCCTTAAAACTCCAAGCCCTGGGGAAGTTAATCTTCTACAGACATATAGCCCATGTTACCCAAAAAGTTGAAAAGTTGTGTTTTTGAGAGGTAAGAAGAGGTTCCTTGCTCACCAATTGGTCAATATCGCCAATGGATCCCCAAAGGAATCCCAGAGGACACCGAGGGGCCGTAGTTCTCCAGCAGCGAGCCCTCCACCGCATCAAAGGCGTGGCACAGCGCGATGAAGATGTTGAACCTCGATGAACAGGCCAGAGAATGATGGACAAGTTGTCACCCTTCCTCCAACTAACATGGCACTTGTAGGGGAGGCACCGGGAAGATAAGTTTCCTCTTGGAGGGCCCCTGTCAGTTGCCTGCAACTGATCCCCTGCGACAAATTGTCGAACTTTTAGTGGCTTCAGTGGAAAAACTACCACAAAGCCAACTAAAAAGTTTAAAACAACCTAAGGGGATGGTTGGGAACCACCAAGTAATTACCTACCTGCAAGGGTGTTTCTCAAAATGGTGGTCCCCTAAAATCCTGGTTTCCTTTGAGTTTCCCTTCAAAATATGAACTGATGGTTGGACGGACAAGTAGGACAAACCGGCCCCATGCGAGCCAAACACCTGGTTTTGACTGGAAGGACGCCCAAACCAGGCTGTGCTTGTGTTTGTGTGTTTGATCCAGGCGTTTAGACATGTCATATCCTTTAAAGGGACACCATAGCTGTTTGCTGTTTGGGACCGTCCAGTTTGACCCTTCAGGAAGGTGCTTGACACAACACGCACACACACACACACACCACACACACACACACATCATCGCCATGTCCTCTACCGGCTTGCGCTTGCAAAAGCTGGCTTTGGCGCACTCATTGCTTGCGCAAGGAAATAAAAGGCCCCCTCCTGAACCGCTGATCGGCCCAACACTCATAAAAGTTGACAACAACTACTGCCCGTGAAAGATTTATACATGCTGACACAGGGCTTTTGGATGTGCGCTTTCTTTTGGGAAAGCCCCCTGACCACGTCGGGCGGGTCCCGGCGGGTCCCGCCCGAAACGGACACCATCCGGACGCATGTTGCCGAGTCACTGGAAGTTCACGATCCAGAAGTCCTTTGACTTGACGATGCTCCGGACCTGGGAATGGTTCGAACAAACAGACAAAACGGTGATGCAGGGGATGTGTGGATCCATTCCTGGATTTTTAAAGAGTACTTGAAGCAAACTAACAGGGGTTGAAGCGCAAATTCGAACCATTCGGGCATGTGACTAAATACGGGAACCAACAAGCAAACGGTTGATGTCACATGTCCTTTCGGTGTCAAACCAGCAAACAAGTGTTTTCAAGAAAGCCACACACACACACACTCACAAACATTTGCCGTTTTCAGTGTTCTAGAGGATGGACGGAAAGGCCCGGCCAAATGCAAGTTACACATTGACATGTTGGTCACAAGGAGTGGACGTGTGTGTGTGTGGGTTTGCTTTGAAAGGGAATCTACAGGGAAGCCACCAACATCCACTTGTTTCCTTTGGGAGTGCACCCATATCCCCTGATGAATAACAACCTCCTGAGTCACTGAGTCACTAGTTAGGAAGCTCCAGCTATCCGTTGTAGACAAGTATGCCTCACACACACACAGACACACATGTGTGAGTGTGTGTCTAGAGATAGCAGACCCCAAAAATGGTTAGTTTTGATGCATCGCTATTGTGGTTCTATTCAAACAAAGCAGGTTCCAAAGGATCTCTTTGACAAAGTCTTTGCAAAACTTCCAACATCTGAGCCAAGAAAACGGCATGGCCATGGCCCTCTGCCTTGCGAGTTGACTCGGAGTCGTGAGGAAAGTGTTGTTCCAAGGCTGGAAAGCGGCTCTCGCCATGAGGAAAGCGGACCGAACTGCGGAATTTAGAACTCCCTTCCCGCTTCAAACCCGGGCTGAAACAAGAACTCAAGAGAAACGCCAGGAAACCAGTTGGCACAACTAATTGGCATGGTGATCCAGGTGGTCCCCGCGAACATGAAAACCAGGAAAAACGCTGGTGTGTGGAAGCAACCTCGATCTTCTACCCGAACGGCACGAAATTTGATTGGGGACTATACATTTGGTGGAAACCGTTTGCATGGGGATCTATGTCCAAGCATGTTGAGAGGTTCCTTCTTAGAAGTCATGGCAAGTTTGGTCTAGGTTTGACGGATTGCAGGGCCAAACTCGTTTGGTGGCATCGCTTCCCTGGGAATCGATGGGGTGGAAAGCACGTTGACCAAAGGCCAACTCTCTTTGAAGGCCCCTTTAGGTCCCACCCTTAGGTCCAAATAAAGCCAAAGCGCATCCACCAAAAACAGAAACTACTTGCGGGCTGGGTAGCAGAAGGATTCTGATGCATGTGACTACATAGCAACTATGCAAAGTCTCCAAGAAAATACTTGAATCACCCCCCCCCCCGGCCCACATGGGCAGCTAAGAACAACTTTTGCCAATCGCTTCCCTCTTCCGAAGCGCCTCTGCCACGAAGCTCATGGATTGCCGATCGCCAACCTCTCCACTTGGCAACATGGGCTTGGGAGAGATTTCTGTTTTGTTTGCTTTGCAGCAGGCAATCGGAAGCCTGAAATGGGTGTTTCTCCCCTTGAGTTTGGACCCCCAAAATGGCTCCTGTCTTCCTTTTGGTTGCTCTTACAGGGTGCCGAGCCTCGTGGTCCTGTACAGACATTCAAATGTTCCTGTACGGACTGCAAAGTGTGTACTTCGCCTCGATTTTGTGTTACTGCTATCAAAACAATCAGTATCAAGCAAGGCAAACAAATGGAATTGCGAGCAAGCCTGCCTCCTGCCTCTGTCTGGGCTTGCTTCCGAAAATGGGCAACTAAGCCTCGACCGGGGCCCGGTCATGCAACCGGGCCCCGGCCGGGGCCTGGTTCGCGCCCGATCGGGCCCGTAAGTGAGATATGCGAAATCAGAGCAGCCCTCATGATTCGAAAGAAAGCAAACATGTCTCGTGCTCTGGGCACCGCCGGGGAAGCACGGCGCATTTCCGAGGAGGGTTCAAAATTACGGGATGCACATGGCCACTTACAAGGAGTGCGCGCAAAGCTGCCCCATGCTCTTTGGGACATCACCTGAGCTAGTAGCCAAGGGTTTTGAGTTGTTGACAGGTTCTGGGGGCAAGGGCGTGTTTGCGAGATATGTCGGTGTGGAAACGTTTGACTTGATATTGAAGGCATGCTCGTGTCGCCGTGCCAATGTGATTTGCGTTGCAGGGTGATTGTTTCGAAGTGTCTTGCTTGGTCGGCGCACGCAACGCTTGCGCAAGTATCATTTTCGTTAGCCCAGTCGCATAATTGGATACCCAAAGCGTTAGGGGTCAAGATGACCATCTTTACCAACCCGAAAAAGAAACCATATGTCAAATGACATGCGGTCAACACAAGCATTGCAGCATTGAAGTTGGGAAGTGTTCAAATAACATACGGGTCTAGACACGTTGGATCCTTGTACATCAGTGTACCTGTATTTCATGAACAAACTGACCATGAGACTGACAAAAGGTGCCACATCAAAAGGGGCCCAAACTAGCCCTGACGCAACCTGTGCCTCGAAATAGGAGAGGATTCCACAAAATGGGGTGTTCCGGCTTCCTCTTGGTTTCCCTGCAACACCATGCCAAAGGCTACCCCCGAAACGGACACGCCCACGGCGCCCAAAAGCTTCGGCTCCGATTCGCGGCTTCGGAGCCTTGGCCGAGGGCCGGGGCTGGTACAGCACCAGGGTGAGCACCAGCGCCAGCATCCTCAAGGCCCATGGCTCGGTGTGTCTTAATAGGTTGGACCCCCCAAAATGGCTGCGGCTTCCTGTTGGTTTCCCGTTAAAAACCAACCTGCAAAAGGGCAGCCTCAAAAAAAGACACATGGCTCGCAAAGGGCAATTCTTCCCAGACGAACAAGCAAGAAACCAAGAACGCGGGCAGGCAAGCAGTCAAGCAAATGGTCATGGCCGGGATCAAAACTCTACCTTGAAATTGTTGTCAGAGGTTTAAACACTTGCCCTTAAACAATCAAGGAGCCGACAGGGGGCCTTTGGGCGACGTTCTTCCGAAGCCCTCTGATCGTCTTCCATGCTGAAAAGGGCGTATCGTTTTGAGGCTACCCTTTTTTTGGGGTTGTGCATCTTGAGATACCCCCAAAAAGAGCTTCACCCCCTCCGGGCCCTCCCTAAGAATCAAGTGGATCACTGATTGCCCTGCGGAAACTGCCACTGTTGGAGGCTCAAACAGTGAGATCTGCGGTGTGCACGAGCAATGACCCCACTCCCCCAGAGAGAGATTTTGTCTTTGAAATCAAGGAAAACTACAAAGAACCATGGCCTTGAAGCAATCCATGGGAGGACCTTTTGCATTCACTTACTAAATCGTCACCCGATGAGAACTGTGTCCATTCACATCGGCTCCAACTACAATAAATCACCAATCTGAAAGGGATCGTAAGACCATGGCGACACCGGTCGCAAGCCAAATCCCTGTGTAGGCTCCCAGTAATTGATTCAGATAGAACCCATACCGGGGTGACCCTGCCACCTTCCGTCCGCAACTCCCAAGTCCCAAGTGTCGCCGAATGGAACTGGAAGCTGAGGAGTGACGCAATCTGGCCGTGCATAACCTCAGCGCGCCATGTGACACCCCAAAGCCTGGTTCGGTTTGGGCGAACTCCGGGACAAATCCACTTGGGATGCCTCGTTCTGGTGCTGATTCACTCAAAAGTGGCAACCAACAGCCATCAACCGCTTCCAAGTGATCGTCACCTTCTTACAACGTGTGGTTCACAAAAATTGATATCTCGTGCCCCCAACTCTCCTAGTGCTTCAGCTGTGCCTCTATCGCCGCAGAATGGAATCACAATTCATCCGGTTTGAATTTGGAGCAAACCTCCCTCAAAGGGGACACCTCCTATTCGCTGTAGTGTCCGCTCCAGGCTTGCGAGTTATTCCAACACTGGGGCTGCTCCTGCTTCAGCGAGAGGTTTGGACGGCTGATCATAACGCCATCTAGCAAGACATCCTCCACCCCAGTCTAGCTGCACCTTGCCTCTTTTTGCGATTCGGACGGTTTTCTCTGGTTGGTTCTTGGCTATTTGGCTGTTTGTGTTCTTTGCGTTCTTCGACATCAGCCAACCCAAAAATGGCAAGCGCTTCCTTCCCATAGGAAACCAGCCGAGGGGCCGTGTAGTCCGTGGGGTTGTCGTCCACGAAGAGCGGTGGCAGCACGAAGGACAGCGACCCACCCACGAAGTTCATCAAGTTTGAGATCATCGCCTCAGCAAAACAAAAACATCACCAACAAGCGACAACAGCTATATATTGTTGCTTTTTTTCCCGCGATGTTTGCCATCTCGAATCAACCCCGACCACTTCGTCAGACAGTTGGCCGGTGCGTGCCCTTTAAGGTGGAGACTCTCGGCGCACCGCCGCGAATCAGAGAGCACAGCCCTCACACCGCCAGTCGCCAGTGCGCCCACAGAGGTGGAAAGCGGGGAGCCGCTTGCTTTGGGATTCGGAGTCCACGTCTACCAAAAACAAACCCGGCCCAAACGGGGTGGAGCCCGCCTTCACAGCTGCTTTACAGTCTCGGTTCCTGGGCTTCGGCGGTGGATGCCTGGTTCTGGGTGATGCGGGGGAGGCCCCGGGGGAGTGAGGGGCGACCCGGCTTTCTGCAATTTTTCTGGGGATTCGGAGTCTGCCTGCGCTGTCCTTTGGTTTGGTTGGGGCTTTTCCGCGGAGGGCTCTGGGGTCCATCCCCGAAATAAGCTCTGGGGCGGGGACTCCAGGGCTTCGGCTGGGGATGCCAGTGCGTCTGAACACGCAAGTGGGGAAATCAACCGGAAGACATGGACACAAGGGTGTGAGCTTAGACTTCAACGCATCTAGGCATCTATCATCACAATTGGGCGTTCAAGCGTTCATAGGAATGTGCATGTGGTTCAACGTGTTGGTTGACATGCTGGCATGCTGAAGTTCATTGGGATGCGTATGCAATTGAAATGTCTTTGCCCACATTGGGCATGCTGGGCTTCATTGGAATGAGAGCACTGCTATGGTATGCAGTGGAACGTGCTTGGAATCGAAAACAGACAGTAACCCCCGAGCCTCCAACGCTTCCCGATTCCGAGTTGATAGCTTCCCAATACTGTCTGAACCCGCCAAAAGGGTAATTAACCACTCCCAAAAACACACACCCACATGTTGGTCATTGATTGCCTGCGTCGATTCCTCAAAATTGTGACGACCATGTCCCCCACCAAAAAGACACACCCCCACTTTATATTTCATGGTTTTGCGCAAACTACGGGTAATTTCCAAGCTGGAAAGGAACCTGCAAAGGACCTCTACCCTCCGGTGAGCTCAAACCATGCCGTTCATGACAAGTGTCCTGCTTCCGCAACTGTGTGGCTACCCTTTGACGAGGCTCCCTAAACTTCCCCCTTATCTAAACATCAGCCCAACCGAGCGGATGCTCATCTAAAAGTGGCAACCAAAAGGCAGTGTGGCAGTGATGTCTAACATCACCAAAAGAGATTTTACATATAGGGAACCCTTTCACTAGACACTTTCGGCGGAAACCGAGGCGCCGCGGCCGGACGCTCGCTGGGCATGAACCAGTCCGAGCCCATCTCCGAGGTGCAGTTCACCAGCAGCGGCTGGCCTCACTCCGCCGGAATCTGGGAATGAACCGTTTGGGGTCCAGTTTGGCAAATGGAAGGTACCAACTAGTAGCAGAACCCCAAGTAATTCAGGTGGTGCTCAGAAGCTAGGTCCTTCAGTAGAGAGGTTAGAATAAGGCTACCAACTTTTTTTCGGTAGTTGGGGAACCCTCCCCCAAAAAGGGGAGAGAAGGGCACTACTGGGGGACCTAGGAACCGTTTGGGGTCCAGTTTGGCAAATGGAAGGTGCCAACTGTCTTTTTACAAGGTTTAAGTAGGCTCTACCAGAACCCCAAGTAAACCAGGTGGTGCTCAGTAGGGAATGGGGTGTTGGGAATGAACCCAGTCCCCTTACAGGAAACCACCAGTCGGATGGTTGAGGGTCATTCCATTTCTCATTCCCTGCCTATCGCACCAGCATGGCTTTTTCGGCACCGGGCGCGTTTCTCCAGCCCCGGGGCGGGGGGGGGGGGAGAGGCTCGGTTTGAAGCGAAGCAAAAAGGACAGCCACCTGTCGTTTTCTTGTTGCGCTCGGAAGGGGTGTGGGGGAAAAAGGGTCGGTTTGAGAACTCAGACGTTTGGCCATCCCAAGCCATCCAGACAGCCCCAGCGGTTCCGATGGGTTTGAGCAAAATGGCTTCACTGAATCTCCCAAAGTCTCCCAAGGTCTCCCAAGGTCTCCCAAGGTCTCCCAAGGTCTCCCAAGGTCTCCCAACATCTCCCAACATCTCCCAAAGGTCTCCCAAGAAACCTTGACCAAAAAAGCCAAAGGACAAGGGACAGCCTTGTCAGCCTGACTTCCATTTGCGTTTTCGCCCCCTGGAACAAAACAATATGTCCAGTAGTGATAAATTATCTTCACAACCAACAAAGGAAATTCAGATATTAAAAAAAAGACAGAAGAGCATGGAAGCTGAACATGACTGTGGGTGGTCTCATAAACCACCGGGTGGCCCATGGCTTACCGGGACCGGACGCGCGGCCTGAAGTGTCCCTGTCGCCCTGTGGGATTGAAATCCTTGTGCGAGAGATGCAGGGGAATGAGAAATGGAATGACCCCCTACAAAAACCATCCGGTTGCTATGGTTTCCTTTGAGGGAACCAAAGCCGTTCATTCCCACATACTGATCGCACCTGCCAGGATTCGAAAGGTCTGCGAAACCCTTCCCCGAGTTCGAACCCGAAAACCGAAAAACCGAAAACCGCGCCTAGCGCACAAAGGCCCTGCCCGGCGAGCAAAAGCCTCACAGATCTTCAGCCACTCGTCAAACCAAAGAGGTGTGCCCGGACCTCAAACTACCCAAGGGATTTCACCAACCATAATTTTTGGGGCGATTTCCCATTGTGAAGGAATTTGTTGAGGGTCCAGGTAGGCATGCTTCCTGAAACAAAGGATGAAACTTCACGTGAGAACGGTGAAGCCTTAGGCTTCACGCTTGGAAAACCAATCTCCGGCTCAAGAGAGCTTCAGCAGCTCCGCAACTTTCGGCCTTCTCGGCTTCCCAATTTGGAAACCATAGAGAACAGCAATGCGTAAAACGCATATGTATTTTTTTACCGAGCCAAAAACAGCCACTCATCCAGTGGTTCTGCCAAACCAGTGCTGTTGATTCCCATATCACAAGTGAACCAAGAAGTTGCAGGGTGATATGACCAACACTCTAGGCGTGAGGGATGACCAAGCGAGCGAAAAACAGCAATCGGCTTGAACCGTTGAATGGTGATTGTCCTTACACGCTACTCTGCAATACTGACATTGGCATGCGTGCAATGGTCGTCCGCAATCTTGTTTTTTCAGAAACCCTCAGGTTTCCTCAAGGAAGCCACACGGCAACATCCCTTGTCGGGGGCTCAGAGACAAACCCAGAAAAAGGCACGGGGGCGTTTCGCAGCAGGCCAACCTCCCCACCCAAGCGTCACGTGGTTGAGTCGCCCAGCCGCAAATTGTCTCAATAATCATGCAAAGGGCGTGTCTTAACATAGGGGACCCCAAAATTGGTGGCTGTCCCTCTGGTGTCCCTTTCAGGCAACACAAAACAAAAAGGTACCCTCAACAAAAAGCAGCCCCAAATTGGTTCACACACTACGTTACAACTTCATGAGTACTGGCTACGGTTACAATCCATGATTTTGCGTTTGAGGAAATATGTAGAGACAGAAAATCACAGGAGGAAGCGACCGTCAAGGCTTTTGTTCAGGTGCTGGCATGGGGGCAGGAGGAATTCATGCCCTCGGTGACAGAAGGAGGGTTCCATTTCTTGATTACCTGAATATGGGTCGCTTCCCCAGAAGGAGAACTTGGGGGGTTTCAGCCTGGAGTAATACGCGCATGGAGCCCTGGGCAGAAGCAATACCCGATCTTAAGTCGGAGATACTCTTGATAGTTCTTCTCGGAGGTGCAAATCGGAGATCTGTGGTGCCCGGCAGGACACCTTTGATCGGGTTCCAAAAACTCTCGGGGAACCCTAGCCCAACAAAACCAACAAATGCCACAGGACTAGGTTCAGCATGTGGTTGAGAGGCTTGGACGGATGGGCACATTCTTCGGTTTGATTCAGGGGCCCAACTTCCTGATCCGAAAATCCAAGCCGGTTCTTTAGCCTCATTTCTCGGTATGAGCAACTTTCAAAATGCACCCACCTTCTGTTTCTAAGCCCGCGGCTAAGCCCACCTTCTCTCTATCAACATCTGTATTCGGGCCCGGTAAACGTCATATCCACATCAACATCTCGTCTGGGCCAAAAGCGAGAGTCAAATACTCAAGGAACCACCCCCTTTTACATGAAGAGTGTCCGGTGTGATGGCCCGTGGCACGGATCCAGACACATCTTCAGGTCCTTAGAACCCTTCTAAACGAAGTGTGGGGACCCCTGAAAAAAGCTGGCTGCCACGCGGCACGAACGCAGTGTTGCCGAACCACGCAGGCCCC